GACCGGGTATGATGCCTATCCAACGGATCCTTCCCTCAATAGTAAAGCATGGCTGGGGCACAACACTGACCAATGTAGTGCCAAAGTCAAGCATAAATAAAAGCTATACCCCACCCAACACCTCTATGACAGAATTATATAATCACATTTAAATATAAAAAAATTTGTTAGTACAAGTGCAGTGAATGCACAGAGCACAGTGCTGGCAATGTAACTGCATTAAGAGCATGATATTTTTGTTTCTGAAATGCAATTATCCAACTAAAGTTAAAATGGACTATGCCAACGCTCATCCACAGTCATCTACTTTACAGTTCTGCACTAGTTAAATTCAGATATTTTATTTCCGCATCTACATTAACAAGAGAAAGTAAGTAGCTATAACAGCAATGATTCCATTTTTTAAGTTTTCTTGTTAGAACATAACCATCAAATTGAATATCACAAAAGAATTAAAGGTGCGTGTAACGTGTTATACCACTGATAATGCAAACAAAAATTATATAAAATTCTTGAATGCATATTTGGTTCCTATCTTGCTCAGAAACACAATACTACAGAAATCATACAGCCATTAATATGGTAATATTTCTCCTCTACTCCAGTAAGTTTGAGACGGCCACTGAATGCAAACCAGAAAATGTAGCTCTGCAATTTTTAGTGTCACTATTGTGTATGCTGTATTTCCACGAAATGGATACAAATACAAAATACAATAATATTAAAAACAATACGAGTCCCTAGACGCAAATGAACACACAATTAACTTCTTAACAACAAATGCATATTTTTCTTTGTTTATGAACACAAATATTTTGATCCCCTGTGAGGCCATCTTAGAAACATTAACAAAAAATAAAGAAACACGGAAAAGTTCAATTCTTATTTTATACACAGATTAGTTAAATTTACTTCCTGTATTATAATATACAGCATTTAACGAAATGAAAAGGTTAATGATCCATACCATGTACGTCAAAAGAAAACAATTCTTCATTGGGGCTCGTGAAGTTTCGACTTATTCACAAGGCGACGTGGCCGAACTCAGTATTTCCTTATAAACAGATTATGACTATAAATACTTTATTCTGTTACTTTACTATCCAATAATATTATAAAACTCATGTCACATACAATCATGATCAGCGCTACCGACTCCCACCCCTTAATCACCAATCGCACTTTTTTTTATCGAGTAATGACATACCTATTTGGGACACTAAAGCAGGACCGAATGAATTCTCCGACTTTGCAGATCATATTTCCCTTGAAAGCGCCTCAAAATTGAAGATTTACTATAATTATACGAACAAAAGAATTCCTTGAAAGACACCACCTTTTCCTCTTCAAAGTATTTAAAGCGTCACTTCGGCCCTTCAATTGCAATTTCCACACAGAATCGATTCTTCCCAACTACTCCATTATCTCAAAACCGCGTTCTAATAATCGCCATTTTATGTTCATCTCTGTGCGGCTTGCGGTTTTATAAAAGCGCTTTCAATGCAAGTTTTTGAGCGGAGCGTTTCAGAGCAAAAATCCGATCTAAGACTCGCTGTCCACCATGTTGGTTGTCCACTGTCAACGGTACTTTTATTTCTTAGCACTTATTATGCGGTAAACGCCCGTCTTTCTATTGACAAATGAATTATCTGAATCCTGACCATTAATATTAATTTTTAAACTTATTCATGATGTACGTAAATAACTTACCACATTAAACCTATGCACATAAAACTGCTGACAAATTTTCTGATGTGTGAATTGTAGAAATTTGGGCTCTTAGGAAATATGGAACATCAGAAAGAAAACCTACCTATTCTAATAGTTGCAAAGTCTTTTCGATGTTGCAAAATGTCTAAAATATAAAATACCAATATTGGCAGAAAATAAGGTTTAAGTGTCTTGTCTTTATATTCTGATGACAGCAATAATAAAACCCAAGAATACACTTTTGGAGCAACAGATTTCTTCTACATTGAAGATTTCTGTCTTCTGGGTTGTTGCGCTTTGTAGTCTGGTAAATGTTTACCGTTTCAGAGGTCATACACAGCCAGGTATTTCTCAACTACGACTGTGTCAGTCAGTATTCCATAAAGGATCATGTCCCATGGAGTCAGACCTAACTGTAAATGGTCTCTGGAAAAAGTAGATGACTCAATCTTGCCAGATTTTTGTGCAGAATATTTACTACATGATTTATTGATTTTGGTATATTTTTGGGCTTCACTTCAGTTTTCTCAGATTAATTCTAAAACAACTGGAGCCTATACACATCAATTATATGAAAATAGATTTAGATTTGATAAATACAAGAATGAGATTGTTCTAGAAATATTCAGATACAATGCTAACACATCAAAATTTTATAAAGAAATTAAGAAAAGGAATAAAATCTTCTCGGGCAATCAGTCGCTGATGATGGGGACAGAGTTGGTTCCCGAAACGTTGGTTTACTATGGTAACCAGTTGATGTGGCTGATTGCCTGAGATTTTATTGATTGTACTCGCCGTGAAAGTCTCAAATCCTAAATTAAGAAAAGCTTACATATGGGGAATGCTTACTACCAAGCTGCTCAGGAACTTTCATCTTCCCATCTACTTGAGCTTCATAGAAGACTAAGAATTTTACCAGATAAGCAACTATAAGCTTCTGAAGAAGGAATATGTTCACTGGATTTAGTCAGTCAGTGTCAGTCCAGCTTTTCCTGAATGAACCGAGGAAAGCAAAGTAACACCTCAATCAGGATAGCTGGTCCGCTGAGACTGTTGGCTGGAACAGTTAGAAGGATGGGATGAGGAATACTTGGTCAGCTTTTAAAGATTGATACCTTTATTACAAATCAGTCTGTCATTTTGTACAAAATGTCACATTCTCTAACACAAAGTTAATGAAACATACACATTTTTTGAGATATTCACATCAGCCACATATGTGGTCCAAACTTTGATGAAAGATCTCCACAACTGCCAACAGACTCGTCTGCTTCAACTACAGTCTGTTCAAGAAAGTAAGACAAAATGTCTGAGGAGTGGAGTCTGTTAAAGTAAGACAAAATGTCTGAGGAGTGGAGATTTTATGTCACAGCTGACATACAGGCAGATATGCAAACACCTCTACAGCACTGTCACAGGATGTCTAGTCCCGTAAGACACGATTGTCACCTAGATCCATGCAATTTACAACGAATGTGGATCAAAGGTCTTGTCCTGTCTGATACCTTTTCCCAACCAATAGCCCTATGCTGGTCTCAGCTAATATGCAATCCACACAACAAATCCAACTACTTTAATATTATTTTAGCAAGTTATTCGGTTTCTGATGTTCTTTTGTGAAAATTGTTTATTCTTGAGTGTTTTTCTTTATTTTTACTTGTTAACAATGTCTCATGCTTTATTTTACTTATTTAGTTTATTTAATGACACTGTCAGTAGCTCAAATTCTATACTGTCAAATGTCTCATAAAACCAAAAGTACTTTGACAAGTGAAATTTCTACCGTAGAAAGTCAGTGAGTTTCGAAATAAAAAATATGTCAAACTGTCACTAACAAATTTAATGAGTTTAATTTGAAAAGCATTGCTCTGTAGGGATCGGCAGATGCGAATAAACCATATGACTCAAACTGCTTACTCAGCCATTACACAAGATGTGCCTCATTTTGTCAGTTTCTAGCTCTTTCAACTTCAGACTTATTTCCAACTTTCTTTAATGGATTACTTGTCACTCACAGTAGTGTAACACTTATAGAAACTGGATCATTCATTTTCATTACCCATGCAACCAAACAGCACCTTCAAGAGGATATCAGTATGCTAGTCCGCACTGTGATTACAACCACGGATGCCACGCTGGATCCATACGACACAGGTTGTCATGGCTGTTTGCAGCTGTCACCAGCGTGCTTACCTGGAAACATAACAGAATAAAAAAGAAATACAAAAAACTAGCATTAATGTAGTCTGAAAAGTGAAGAATTTAATGTTTTGAATATGGCCATGTTTTTGTAGGAACAGGAAAATTGGATCCACTGTTCAGTAAACGGGTTTACATAGACAGAGCCAGTCAGCCTCAAAATTTTCTATATTTTCTTATGGAGACAATGAATGATGTCTAACGTGACAACACTAGATCTCTGTCAAACACCTTGGAACCATAACAGAATAAAGTAGATATTTCCTGCCTGGAGACAACGTGAAACTAAAAGCTATCCCTATTGTCATATGAGAGGGTACAAGATAGTGGCACACTATTTGTGAAAGATAACCAGAAAACACCTCTATTTCATTTATACAAGTTCAAATTTGCATATAAAATTGTTATTCAACTGATAACATAAGCACACAATAACGTAGAAGAACACACCTTGCTCTCGGGTACATCGGAGTTGGAGAGCGTGTTGAGTCGCGACATGATGGCTGTAACAGCACGAGTCACCATACTGATGAGTAGCTCGCCATCCATTTCAGTCGGTGCAGAGCTCACGGCCTCATGCTGACAGTCATCTTGTTTCTGCAGCAAAATACATAGGATCTCAAGACACAGGGCTGAGCTACACAGGGTAAGGTCAAATGACAGGTGCTTGTGATCACAGGCATAAGCATCAGACTCCACAAGAATATAGAATTGGTCACTGCAAAACATAAAGGAAAAAGACTCCTTGGGAGATGAAAACACAGACTGAATGATATTAAAATGCATCTAATGTAATGGGATATGAAGATGTGAACAGAGTTCAAATGCCACAGGATATTGTCCAAGTGCAAGCTTCTGTGATTATGGTGACAGGCATTTGAATTCTGTAACAATAATATGCAAATTCTTGGTGAAGTGAACACTTATCAACTGCTCAAGACTTTCCATGCTGCTGTTAGTTTGTCCTCACCTTCCTGTGCCCTGAAATCATCTCGTCGCGCAGGATGGCCCGCAAGATGGTCTGCACCTTAAAGCTGGGTTGCACCAAGCAGCGAGCCGCAGCTGTCATGCTGGCTGTTAGGGGCCCACTGATTCCAATAGTACTCAGGTACTCCAGGATGTTGGGTGTCAGTCTGAATGGTACAGGGCGGTTGGCATCCAAGTCACCTGCAATATACACACTGGTATATGTCTAATCATACCAGTTCTGCCAACTTATCCATACCCATGTTCCCTTGGAACACCGTACCAGAGACTGACAACTGGGCTCTCCTTCAAATAGAAAGTAGCACTGCTGTCACTGTTTTACTGAACTCCTCCTCCACATACATAATTTTACTTAGGCTCGTTTATGAGATGGCCCACAACGTCTGTGTATTCTACCTAATAAATAAATTATGCAGAAAATTTATAAACATAAATCAAAATTTCATGCAACTCTGTTACATGCTATCCAATATAATACAAAACACAACAACTTTAGCTGCCTATCAGATCACTTTGGGGGAAAATAAGTTCTGCTGAGGAAGACTTTGAACTAGTGGTTCAAAATGTTGTTCCTATTTTTCTGCACTTATCTCTTCAATATTTGTCATGTGAGAGATAAAGAAAGACTCTAATGTGATAGCCAGTTGTACCATGGAATTCAGAGATGTATCATCACACTCACTTCAACATGACAGACATGCAAGGCAAGTGTCAATGCAAAAAACCAACACTCACCAGATGTATCGTCAACATCAAACTTGAAGTACGACACATTAACGAGGCCAGAGTCCTGGTGAATGTACATCATGTCTGGGTTCAGCCTTGTGAGGTGCAGGACATACTCAGCAAAGCATGACAGTGAGAGCTGAAGTGTGAACTGTAACATTACAACAAGAATTGACTGGTTTGGCAACATAAAATATTCATATTCAGGGGGTGAAAAGAATATGGTAGTTGGGCTGAACTGGTTCAGGATCATGCCCGATGACTAGCTTCGGTATTAGCACCGCTGAACCTTTGCTTCTGCTACGACACAGGCTTTTACACTAAACACCACATATACACTTGGCTTCATCTGTTGTAATGCTGCATGTTCTTCCACAGTAGCTGACATCCAGTGCGCAAATAACCTGTTACTTCCCTCCTTCTGTAGTCTTTGCTACCGATATCTCGAGCACAAAATACTACCTCTGCGCAGTAATGAATCCAACACATGGGCGCAGTGAAAGGCCACAAGCTGTTTTTAATAGTATTACCCTCTTGGCCACTTAAATATGATCCACAGTCATTTGAAGAAGAGGAAAAAGAGACTAGAACAATGATAACACAAAAGCTAATTCAATAAAATCTACACATCACAATCAGTTTCAGCCAGTGAACTCACCGTTTTGCGGAACATCCAGTAATCTGTAGCTGCAGGAAAAGTCCTTACTGCCCAGTCTCGGAGCATTGAGCGAGGCACCATATTGCACTGAACCTCTTTTAGGATGTCTCTCAAGACTTGATGACTTGCTTGGGAGCCCCGAGACTGGAATATACACAATATATGAAAGCTTTTGGTGACAAGTGGCCAATCAGCTCTAAGCTGCACTGAATTCTGAAAGTCATCATTTTATAATTTTTTCCATTCCAGTATTTAGGTTGCAATGATTTCACAAAATATATTCAGCACCTTTTATAATACTCTTTGTTGAAAGCAATATAATTGGCCCTCTGAGGCATTGGCACACTTATACCAGACTTCATGGCATGACAACCCAGAAGACAGCAATATTTTTTCAGATGTCCATGAACTGTACCTGTACAGCTGCAAGACGTTCATAGTATCTAAGTACAGGGGCATCATGTTCGACGCCAAGACGGGCACAGCCTTGCCTGTATATATCGAGCAGCGATATAGATGCAGGGTTGTCTTCAATAAGACGCATCTGTGGAGACACGGCCACTACCCGTGGAACTGTGAAGTGAAGGAACCTGCGTGATGTTTCCTGTGACACATGAAACTAATCTGGTTAGGACCAATGACAAAACATTCCTCTAGGATATATAAAATCATGCATACAAACAAAACTGTCGATGACCCCTTGAGGTCGAAACGCGTTTGGCACTAATTGTTTTTTCAAAGTGTAAACAGTTTTGTTTGTATACATGATTTTATATATTTTAGATAAATATTCAACACTGCAAGGTTTTGATTCCTTTAGGAATTTCACTAGTCTTATGGAACCTGCAGATTCACTGCTGTGTTCACAGAAGACTGTATGACAGGACAGTATCACAAGCCAGAAGAATCCAGTCCATAGTCTCACACCTTATTTATCCAAGATCCATTTAAATATCATCCATCCACATCTCTTTAGATTCACACAGTAATCCAGATTTAGAATACTTGTTCAGATGTTTCATGAATCATGCATTGAAAGGGTAGGGGTAAGACGAATGTTTCAGTCAGGTCTAGTACACTGGTGGTGTTACTGTCCTACCTTCTGCTTGCCAAGGTAGTGGTTCAGCATACGAAGTAGCTGCAGAACACGCTCCTCTCGCCGGGCATCCCCCAGTCCTGAGTCATTCACCACCAGGTATGGATAGATTTTTCCATTGTGACCCCGTATGAATAAACGTCGTGCTGCTGTGTTGTGTTTCTGCACAATGTCCACTCGTGGCATGAAGCGTGCAATTCTCACATAGTAATGAGAATGCTGTAACAGATGTAAACATCATAAAAGACACACAATTCTGTAACTGCATTATGAAGATGCTTCAAGCACTGATCAATAACGGGATAAAATGTGGCCTGTAAATGAGACTGGTAAAAGTTCAGACCTCTCAGACAATGACAAAATAAGATTTAGAACGTTTTCTGCGTGTAAACCTCACACAGAAAACGTTATAATTCTTATTTACACGTATTATGTAATTGCTGTGCTAAGATGTTTAAGGCCCTATATTTTGTAACAAAATATAATATTGTGAATTTTGTACATGCATTCATATATATGAACTACCTTGGGTAGGAGGAACTCGCCTGGCAGCTCAACTTCAGCCGTCTGGAGGCTAAAGTTACTCAGGAACCTGCACTTCTCTTCAATCAAGAAGGACCTGTTGATGCAAATAGGATAATTCTTTGTTAAGGTAAGAAAGGATACAATTAAAAGTAATAGCGAAAGACTTCACGGAGATAACACGAGCCAGAAGAAACCAATCTGTTAGATACACTTACTGTGTAATGTAATCACACACATTTGGAATATGGAGATATAAATACACAAACTAAACACCTTAATAGAACATGCTGACATTGTAAAGGTAAGGATCCATCAGAGGGAAAAACAGGACACAATTTATAACACTTTTTTTTGAATTGTGAATGTGCATGAACAAAACACTCTGAGACAGAAGTTAATGTATGATTATACTCCACACTGCTACACAGCTACAGAGACTCAGCAACGAAGTGGTTTCATGCACCAATCAAATATAAGTAAGAGATAAGACTCACTTCGGCAATGTCTTCACTTTTGTCTCCAGAATCTGGATCCATTTCCGGAGCTTAACAATGAGATTCTGCAGCTTCATGGACCCAGGCACAGCAAAGTCAAAGTCAGTTGTGAACTGGACCTTCATCATCTGGAACACGGGGTCCTGCACCGTCGCACGAGCTCGGCTTGCCAGGCTCTCTGATGCAGCACTGCTGAACTGCGCACTCACTGAACTTGAGATGTTTTCTGTTACATGCACACCCAATATATCACATATTTGCTCTAAAACACATCACAGAACATGGACATGGTTGGGCTTGTTACAATGTCAAGAAGATGGCCATCTACATACTCAACACTGTGAGAATCTTTAATCTTAACTTGTTACCATATCATGTGTGTTTGAGCATATTTGCTCATTTAACAGTCATTTGATCTTTTTGATTCCCGTAGAATGCAATAAACTCTGTTAAAGAACATACAAGAATAATTATGGACCAATAATCACCTAGAACTGACCACAACTTTAGTTTTGAGCTTATTTACAGAAGACAACCCAAATTTGTAGGATCGCTACTTCAGTCAATTACTTTGGTGTTTTGCTGCAAAGCAGTGAGATTTTAAATGAAATGTATATTACTAAAGAATATGTTGTGTGAAGAAATGTCATGGTTTAATGATTTTCAATTATTGGCCTTACAGGAAACATAGAGCACATTCCAAGGATGTAAGAGTTGGGCTCACTTCACACACGAGAGAGAGAGAGATGATGGATGAAAGAGACAGACACAGAAAGAAGTAGATGAAGAAAAAGGAGAAGAAATATAAGAAAAAGTGAGAGAGAAGAAAAATAAAGGATAAAGGAGGCAGGACAACAGAAAGAAGGGGGATGGAAGATAAAAGGAGGCTGAATTAAAATTCATACAGAATATGACGACTATATTGTGTGTTGGCAGTTTGTTCTGTGACAGTCAACACGATGAAGTACGTCACTGTAGTTAATGGCTAACATGATAATAAATTGTCCTAGCACTGAAAGCCAATGGCCGTACTGTAATACTTCCCTACCTATGCCAATTCCAAATGTTGAGATCAGCTTCTTAACAAAGTTAAGTGTGTGAGGGGTGATGGTAGCTTCGCAGACTGCACCTCTGTTCTCAAAAGCAATAGCAAGGCACTTCGCAAGTCCCTGCCGCAGTTGCCGAGAAACTTCCTCGTACCAATTCTCTCGGAACCACACCATCTACACAAATAACACAATTTAGAGAATTGTGTCAAGCAGGATCCTTTGTTTAAATCCACCCAAACCTGCATGACTTTTGTGCTAGAGACTGACTGAAATCCACCTACCTGGTCAACTATACCTTCCAGAGAGGACAACACAGTCGGATGAATATCCCTCTGCATGTGCATGATTCGAGAGCAGCGCCACATGGAAGGAGTGGCACGTATGGGCCCTGTATCTCCCCCGCCTGCCGCCTGGCTGCCATGTGGTTGATGAGAATGTGCAGATGTCGTCGACTGGTCTCCTGCAAGAAACGTGTCTGAGGGTCATTGTGTACCTCTACAGAAGGTGCTTTGCCACTGTTTCATAAGATTAAAAAACAGTACTGTACCTTGCTGCTGTGATTCCCCCCTGCCTGACACCTGCTGCAACTGCAACATCATCAGAACAGAAGTAAACTAGAGAAGAAGATTGTGTTTGAAGAGTGCTCCTGTGAAAACCTCAAAACCCACTAAGAATATGTTGGTAACATAACACACTGGTACAGCTTGAAATCATAATATTTATTGGAAGTTCATCATGAATGATCATATTTAATGTTAAGTGATGAATGGGGAAACTAATATTTTTCATGAAAATGGAAATGTAATCTCAACAAAAAAATTTCAGAATCAGGCCCAGCTGGCCTGTTACAGCTACTACAAAACATTTCCATCTACTCTATTTCTTTAATGATACAAATTTTCTTAACAACTTCTATATGCTACAGAACTTTCTACCATATATATATATCTCAGAAGAATTATTACTGATCTCTCTCTCTTCTTTTTTTAACTGCAATCCATCAAATAAAATCATGCAACAAGTTTCAAACAGAGCTTCATAATTTGAGGTTCACTGAATTAACAAATCCACTTCAAGTTTGTACAATATATGAAACTGTTTACATACGCTGTGCTTCTGATTGGATGCAGGCAGCTTTCCAGTCTGGTCCACACTCTTGTAGCGCTCCCGCTGCTCTATCTTCAGTGTCAGATACAGGGTTCGGATTGGAAAGTACACAGCTTGAGGGAACATGCGTCCCACCTGGGGGTATAAAAAAAAAGTGGCAAAATAAATCACTGATACTCATGTGGCTTTCCTTGTTTTGTATGGAAAGCTAGCGTCATGCAATTGGAAACTATATATTTTCCATATCTTTTCATTCCTTACTGCCAACATTACCAACATGGTAGTCACATGAAGATGGCTGTCTTCTGGGTTGTTGTGCCATGCAGTCTAGTAGAAGTTTACCAAACTTCAACCTGATAAACTTCTACCAGACTACATGGCGCAACAACCCAGAGGACAGCCATCTTCAGACTCACATAGTCACATGAACGCATAAGGTGACAATGGAACTAGTTTCACTTCATGTAGAGGCTGAAAACTTTGTGTGGTAATAACAGCTACACAAATATCAAATCCTGTGACTGTTATAACCACAATCTGAAACTGCACGAGCCTTACCTGACTCAAGAGATTGAGGATGAGGGTTCCCTCGTTGCGCACGAGACACGTCAGCAGCTGAGGTATCCACGGCAACCACTGGATTGGTGGCACTCCCACAGAGTACTTGTCTACTGCTTCAGTCAAAGTGGATTGATCATCGTCATAAGTGAGCAGCCAGAGAACCTGACAAACACCTCTTTACATAAGACCAGCATTGGATCCTCTTGTAGTTTACAGTCTGGAAGCTTATTCCTCTAAGATACATCATTATACTATAATTTTCATCATTTGTCTATTACTTCAGCTTCCTTAACTATCTCATGAACTCATTTTATGATGCAGGGTCATTCCTGAGAAAATGACAGTCTCTCAGCTCATTAAGAAATTCCCTGCATTTATGGAACATCAGCTGATCACAAAGAAAACTACTCCAATGAATTAGTTGCTTCACTTTCTTACATTGGACAGAGCACTCTCATATTTTATGAAACCGCCTGTACCACCGAAACTGGTGGAAAGAGGTTTATGCACAAACTGTTCACTGTTCTACGTGTACTTAAAGACATACCTTGGCCAGGTACTTCCTGGACTTGGATTCATTCTGGTGGCGACAAGCATGGAGGAAGCAGGTTATGGCTTGTGTACCAAGAGAAATCTGACGTGCATCTCGTGTGAACAGCTGCTCAAGGTAGTCACCCCACAGTGCCCATGCCTTCACCAATGTGTCATGCATCTGGACAGCTGCTGAGAACACTTTGTTTGCGTCATCAGAGCGTCCGATCTGCGCTAGGAGCATGCCCTTCAGGGCATAGATCTCAGAGGTCATCTCTCGTGTCAACAACTTGACATTCGTCAGTTCAATCACATCCAAACCCTTAAAAACACATCACATTATTTTCAGACCGCACTGAAAACTCATTATACTAAAGGTATCCAACAGATCAGCCATAACTTGATTCCAATAGAATTTTGTAGAAATGGTGTTTCTAGGCCTCATGTAATGTTTATACTGACATGACTTGGTTGTTAGAGCCTTATTTGCAAAAACAATGTGGGTTGTGAGCACAAGTGGACTAACAGACACTGTCATCTGTGAGCAGTCTTACTGCTGAGTACATAGGATAATGTAAGGAAAAACAATTACCGGATGAAATTCAAACTGGGTACCTCTAAAATACAAGTTCAAAACATTTACAGTACAATAACTAGCTCAGATTTTCATGCCTGTCAATCATGTTCACATCTCTGGGTGATATCCTAACTCACCTTCTGCAGCTCATTCTTATCAGTCACTGCTGCCATCTGCAGGTAGCATTTCACCTGCTGGCGGACCTTCTGGAAGCAGTCCACGATTGGCAGGCTGGGAATTGTGTATATGCGGCACAGGGAGTCAAGACACACTCCTGGCAGGTTGTGCTTCCGCGCAATCTTCCCGAAGTGGATGATGGCCTGCCAGATGAAATCACAAGAAAAAATTATTTATGGGAGACAAAATCTAGTTTAAATACTTAAGAGAGATGGGAGGGGGTGGGGATTCCATACTGGATTCTATAAGGAAATCTCTCAGAAGATTATCAGTTAGATGAGCAAGGAGATTAAATGACAGTATTAAGATGAATAATATTGAAAAAGGCTGTGACAATAGAAGGTAAACAGAACTGTTAAGTGTAGTATTAAGACAGCTGAGGAAGGAAAACCAACTTATGGGTGCTGTCTTCCATCTGCCGTGTATCTCCGCCTAGCAGTCGTGTATGACGAACAGATCTAGGAAAAAATAATCACAATCTGTTTTAACCCTTCAAACATCAGTGGTAACTATATGAATAAACAGATCTAAGAAAAAATAATCACAATCTGTTTCAAACATCAGTGGTAACTATATGAATCATCTGCATTCAGACTCAATAAATCAGAATTTTACCCTCAGTGCATTTATGGGTTTCATATGATTCTCTGAATAAACAACATTTCCATAATCAGAATTAACCAGTCGATCTTTCTGATTGAGTGACGTTGTGTTTTCACTGTGGTAGGAATGGTTATTAAATATTGCTCAGATCAATTTCTGTTGCAGACATTTAACCTGTATTTGCTTGAGAAGCCAGAGGAACACCATAAGGACACTCTGGACTGCCTGTCCCTGTCTGCAATTTGAACTATGTGCCTGTCGACCCACCTGAGCAGATGCATGGACACCAAGTGTACTGTTGACAGTCTGGTCGTGCTGCGAGTTGAAGTGCGATGCTATAAAGGTGTAGTGATGCTGTCGCCATGTAAAGATGTCACTCCAGTGGCTCAGGTCATCTGCTATCACGGGGAGGCGGTTGCGCCAGGTCTTTATGGTGGCCTTCATGTCATGCAGTGAATTGCTGCGACCGTGCTGCAGCGCCTGGTGGATTTGCGCTGCCTCCTGAAGCTCCATTATCTGCAGCACATCACATGTACGAATGGCCAACACAGTGACAGTAAAGTCCACCCTCAAACACTACACCAGATACTTATAGACAGAGAGAGTTCATTATGACATGACGTTTTGGGCTTGTTGGCTAAGACAACTGCAATACATTGTGATGAAGGAATCAGATACAGTACAGATGCATTCTTCTTTGATAAACTTTTAAGTCTTACCTCTCCCTAACGATCATTGCCTGCCAGTGCCATCAGATGATATGAAGCTGTATGCACTACTGACTACAGGTCTGTAACCTTACATTACCTGCTGAGCAGCCTGAAGCAAGGGCAGGTGGATGTGGGACACGATGTGTGGCAGTCTGCGCCACTCCCTCATGCACAGCCCACTCGACAGCTCCACATAGCGCTCCACCACAGACAGGTGTGGGTCCTCTGGGTGGCAGATTGCGAGGAAGCCACGGTACAGGTTCACCTGATTGACAACAGACACTGCAACTTCTAGAATCTCTTGCAGCTGACTACTACACTGTGCGGATATTTAACTTCATCATTTGGCTTAAAATTCATTTACTTGAATCAGTGATTTGTCACTGTCAACAGATAAAACCAAAACTCAAATCCAACCCTAAAACCTAAACTTAAAACTGATAAAAAAATGTCTTGGTAGCAGAATTACAATGACAAGATGAATTGGTTATATCACTATAACTCTGACATCAAGTCCTATTTGTGTGCGCAAGTGGACAATCGGACTGGGCACCTTACAGCTGATTTACAGTGATAACAATAAAGGCATGGTATGGCAAGTAATTAATGATTTATCATGCCAGGTTAGCAATTCTCAAAAGACACTCTTGGGAATTCATTACCTTCCACATCATTTCCTTGGGACAGTTGGTCTCCACCTGGCTCAATGCTTCCTTCATTAGGTTCCAGTCGGGGACTCTCCAAGCTATGTCCAGTATCAGGAATGGGTTATTGATACTTTTGTCACGTGCATAGTCCAGCAAAAGGTCCCACTGGTTCAGCTCTTTTGAACATCTGTGGGGACATACCACATCCAACATATATAAATCTGTCTGTCTGATGGAGAATTTTAAAACACGCAAGTTCATAAAAGTATGTTAATGAATACATCCCACCTTTAAACAGCTCAAAAGATTTCACAGCTTCACATTTCTTCCTCCAAGATCCATTTTAATATCATTTTCCCCTCTATGAGTCTGCCTCTCAAATGGTCTTTTCTTTCAAAGTTCCAGAACTAACATTTTAGGAAACTTATTGTCTCACCCTTGTATGCTATATGTCCTGCTCATCTGCTCTTTTCTGGGATGCTGCAGCATAATATTGTTTGTGTGTGGCTATTCATAAATCAACACTTAAGTCACTTGCCTGATCCAGTGCTCTTCCCACAGCCTCAGTTCACTTCGTACACTTCCTGGGGCAGGGACCGAACTGTAATCATTGTGAACTTTGCTCATGGCCACCTCATATGCTCCTTGTGCCTGCTCAAAGAAGCCCTGCTGCTCATAAGCAATGGCCACATTTGTCTCCCGGTAGCGTGCGTGTTTCTGCCACAATCCGCTCCACATGTCCTCCTCGCATAGCAAGGAGTACATGTCAGAGAGTGAGTCCAGAATCTCCTGCAACATGTTTCCGCTGTCCATCAGTGCTTCATAGCAAATCTACCCAGTGCTATTATAGTCCGTCCAATGTTAAGAATAGACTATTGGTCTTATTGCAATGGTATTATAATGTTAAGAACAGTAAGCACTTGTCTACTTGTATGTTAAAAGACTTCCCTGGTTTGGCTCACCTGCTGAGGTGACACCACTGGTTCAAACTCATAGCAATCTGTGACATCACGCTTTGACTTCAGCTGACTGTTGTTGCCGTGTTCAAACGCTAGCTGTTCCAAGCTCAACGTCATGCGGTGCCATAGATTGTGTGACTTACCCAAATATTTCATGAGGACCCTGCAAACAGGAGGAATTGCATGAATACACAGTTTTCACTGCTCTGACATTCCCGCAAGTGTAGCAACCACGTGAGAAGCAAACTGTACCTGAATACAGAAACACATTTTGTGATGGAAGCAGATTATAAGCAGTGAAGATAAAATTTATTAAGAAATATTAGTAAAGGAAAAAATACAGAGATCAAATGGGAAGTTAGGTTATTAAGTGAGATCTGAAAGAACAAGAAAAGATGGTCCAACTAAAATATCGTGATATGAACATGTGTACTGTACAGATGACAGGAGGATTCCTTTCACAGCATCTAAGAACAAAGACATCAAATGAACAACCACTAGGGAGAGAAGTGGGAGCACATCTACAGTTAAAACATTAAATATGCAGACATCACAACTGCACTTACGGTTTGATGGGGATGGCAGGGTTGCAGTGGGACAAAGCCTCGATGAAGGTGCTGAGAGCACTGGGGTGGCAATCCTTCTGAACAACGTGAGCGCCGCTGCACACAAAGGGCACCATTTCTATCAGAAGAGTCTGTAAATACAGTTTCATTCTCATCATAATAAATTCTGTTGAGGTTCCAGAGTATGTACTAGTTTGAATACAAAGCTGAGGAGCTGAAAGTCATCTCTTAACACTGTGTAACTACATAAAGTGAAAACAAAGCTCCAAAGTATCAGTTAAACTGAATCATCACTGGGCTAGCAGAACCTGTCTCAATGCCTCAACCAGTTTACTCACACTCTGCTGTTTTTCTGTTAGGATGCTCCAGAGTTGAGGGAAAATGTCTAACCAAACCCTCTCAGCTAGTGCTGTGTCCATGTGACACAGCTGAGCTGTGGCAAACAAGAATTGCACAGTTCTTGTGGTACGGATCGACTCCATCACTTTGGACTGGCGGAGGATAAGATGTGCCAGAGCTGCCTTGCGGGTTCGACCTGTTGGCTGTTCTTCGCCTTTCTGGTCCACTGATGCAACAGTCTGGAGATCCATATCAATATCCTCCTGTACACAACACAAAGTAAGCAGGGACTACTCTGAACTAGATCCTCAGCTACTGAAAAAGCACCATGCAGAACACTCCTATCAGAAATCTACAGTACATGCAGTTATAGCTTGTCAGGCAACAGCTCCCCACTGTACTGAAATGTTGCTATCTACCTATGAGAGCATACAGCAGAACAAACCGGATCATCATCTTTAAAGATACTTGTAACTTGCATGGATATTTAAGCAACAAAAGTGTATCTGTCCAAGTGTTATCATTAAAAACAATTCTAATCTTACTAAGACTTAAAAATAACAAATAATATACAGTTTACGTAAAATGATGCAAACGTCTGAATGCACATGCACACACATATAGGAACTCATGCTATGTGAGTGTACCCAGACTATTCAATGATAATGCCATAAATCTGACTTCAGAACAGGTGAGTTGTTCAGCTTAACAGAGGGTATACAAATATTTTATAAACTTCTGACTATGCCTTGGTCTTCAACACAGTCTCACATTTAAAGCACACGCCTGTACCTCTTTATTCATTTTCATATGACAAATTTACAACCAAACGATAGCAACCAGCTTTTTACTCGGGAGGTTTTTTGCATTTCTGCAGAATACCTTCGAAGCAAAGGCCAGGGCAGTAAAAAAGACACAGCTGACTACTCAATCATTCATAATCATGTGATTATCACTCCTTCAACTTCAACAGTAAATATTACATAACAAAGTAATCAAACAGAGCCTCTTGAAATCAGCAGATGCTGTGTCAGTTGCAAACACAGGGAGATGGGACAGATATGCAGATACACACCACCTTATCCTGTGTGTCCAATCCGTCCGCAATGTCACTCGGCTCCTCCTTCACATTCAACAGATTCACAAAACTGTCCTTTTCTGCTGAGTCGGCCAAGTTTATCACCGATGCGATACCAGGTAACAGGCTGGTATCTGATGACATTTGTATTGGTGTGTCTGAAACGTTATGACATTTTAGGAATCAGAGTGATAGCTGATTCTCCTGTCTGCAAAGATCTAGAGGTTTGTTATTATGTCTTGAGTCCTGTCTCATTCTCTGTCTCCTGGAAAACACAGCAATCTCTCATTTACTATGACTTTCAGTTCATCTCACTCTGATATTATCATGTTTCGTTGCATGTAACTCGCCTTTGATTTGCTATATAAGATCGGACGCTGGTGTTCTGGGTTGTAATGCCATGTGAACTTGCAGGTAGATACCAACGTTCTGAAGTAACATACTGCCTCCACCTCCAGGACTGAAGCCCACATGGTGTTTCAACCCAAAAGACCAGCATCGCCATTACGGTAGCCCTTTGGAATCCTATATGATTGTCAGTTCTGTAAGGGCCTCACAATTCCATGTATGATGCTTTTTGTTTTACTTCAGACACCTTCTGCAAACAGGATCATTTAATAACCAGTCTGAATTGGTGTCATTTAATAAATTACCCAACTTGTATACACTTACAACAGTACATTACAATTGGCACTACAGGGTTTCCAGTCTTGGTCCACTGTTTAGTATTCAAAGAGAATTCTGTTTGGAATACTACACAATAGACAAAGTCCAGAAACACAGTAATACTAATTAATATACATTTGAGGTAAATTGGCTGATATATTTAAAATCATTTCCTGCATGTAATAAGATATCTTACTGGGTGATGCAGTGACAATAAGCAACTCAATGCACTGCTTAATCCAGTAGTGTGGTCCCATGGCTTCCCAGTTCTGAGAACAGATGATGTACATGAGACGGTCGTGAAGCCTTCGCTTCATGCTAGCATCAAACACCTCAAAGAACTTGGCTCTGATGGTGGGCTGCACACACCGCAGTCCCGCTAGAAACGCTGGTTCCAGCTTCACTGTCAGCTCCGAACACTTGAGTGCCTCATCTCTGCAAGTCAATTGTCATTTGGAAATTATGTAACAACAGTCTGCAAGATGGGACTAGAAAATGTTGATCCTTCACTCTGATCTATTTGCATAATATTAATACTATGGCTCAGAGATAACATGCCTGACTCCTATCTGGAAGGCCCCTGATTGAATTTATATGGGATGACATAACTCTCATACATAATTCTACTCTTCCTTTAACCTGACATATTACATGTATGTAATGTTAGCAAACCTGTAGATGTAGTTGACAATGTCAAGGAACTGAGCGTTGAGCTCCAGGTCATCAGGGAACCTCTTCTCCACATATTGCATCAACTTGACTAGCAGAATAGACTTCTCCCTCAGCGTTGGAGCTTGGTTCACTGCGATTGGATTCTTGTTCTTCATCCAGTCCTCCAGCATCTGCAATGCAGTCATATGGTCTGAGCAACACTTACAAATGACCGTGAGAGAGGCACCACGGACAGCAGGAACATTTTAAACTTAATATTCCCTTTGAGACATTGGACACGTTAAAGCTTACACTCCCTTTGGATAGTAGTAATTGATTTGTGATTCAGAGAGGATGGTCAGGTCAGGAGGGTATCTGGGAGAAGGAAGAAAGAAATAAAATAGGATGGCAGAGTATTTTGCTCCAGTAACTAACCAAGCAATGGAACAAAGAATATGATGTAGGTACATCATGAACATAGCTACAAATATTTTATGTCAAAACTTAAATATAAACATAAGAGTTCCACAAATCTTTGTGGTTGACTGACAACTTTCAGGCAACAGGCCTCTGAATCATGCACAGAAATACAACACACAATTTATACTTTCTGCTAGCACAGCATTTTACAGTATTAAGTGTTATTTAGTTCTGTACAGAACATGAGTTTGCGGTGACACAGTTAAGGAACAACCAAATTAAATAAACTATGGACAGGTGGGTGGAAGCACGCACCTTGGTTATGGCCTTCATGACTTTTATATCTGGACTCTTCTCAATCAATGCAACAAGAATAGTACCAATGAAAGTTTTCCTCATTTCCGCCCCCATCACGACAACTCGGTTCTTGACAAGATCCAAGCTCAGGATTAGCAGCTCGCTGGCAACTGGAACCAACATCACAACCTTGTAAATGCTGTGTTCATTAAATTCCATTTCCCCTCTTAACTGTAGAAAACTGCACGCACGCACACACAGAGTTGCGCTGTGAGAGAAACATCAGGCCATCATAATTCCCAGAAGATATGCTTGCCATGAACATGAGGAGGAAGTGTTACAGTGAAGCTCCTCATATTCTTAATATTAGATGGCTGTCTTCTGGGTTGTAGTGTTGTGTACTCTAGTAGAAGTACATTTCAGAGGTCCTTGTTGCCTCCACCATCAGGGACTCATCGCCCAGAAGACGGCCACCTTTGGACTCACCACCGTGAAAACCCCAAATCCTACCTATCCTTAACATTGATATAAGATTAGTTTCTTGCTTCAGTTATATTAGCTCTGGCTGAAGAGACTCCAGTACCTATTGCATTAAAGGCTTAGGCAGCTGTAGGGCAAAAATGTGTCTGCCTCTGACAGGCATCAAAGCTGTCATCCAGGCAACAGAATGTCACATAAATGACAGAGCTATTCTGATGTAAACTTCATCAATGCTTGCAGTAGTGGAAATTATGCACACTAACATATCACTAAGTTCAAACATGCATTCACTGTTTTTGTACATAATTAATAATATGCAAAAAGTTCACCTGGACTATTTTCATGAGCTGATGTTGGCATAATGTGCTCACGTGACATCCTCTGCAGCACCCTCATGAACGGCGTGATGAGGCGGTCGATGTAGCTGGGGTTGCTTACACATGCAGCCTTCAGCATCATCAGTGTGCCAAACAGTGTCGATGGGCTAGCACTAAGATTCTTCTCGTAGTTGGCAAGCCCCTCAAACACAACCTGCACAATAAAGTGTTTACTTCACCAAGATTATCTTACTTCATGTCATATAACTTACAGGCTCAAAACTGCTGACATTATTTTGTACCTTCTACCTCTCATCCTCACAACACACATGAATGACTGTCAATTGCTAAAACCCTGAACCTAGGAGCAATGCTGGGGATGTACCTTTCCAACGCAGGCATACAGACACTCCAGTTCTTCATACTTAGAGGCCACAGTAGAGCTGGTCGGCTCGGTGGGAAATATGCTCATAAGTCGAGACAGCAGTCCATGTACCAGGCGGATAACCTGTGGAAGAAGGCATGCAGGATATCAAAATCCAAACATCTACTTTAAACTTCCTATGTTCAAAGTGTTACTGTACTGTAAGAATGTGTTCAAATAATAGCACACTATAAATTATTCAGGAAAATACACTAGTGAAGAGGATGGATAATAAAGGAATACAGCGAGTTGTGGACTGGGTCTGACAGGTTTAGGATGAGGACTGGCAGCAGACTCTTATAAACAGGGCAATAAACATTCAGTTTCCATAAAAGTTGTAGAATTTGGCTACTAACCCTTACGAGCTGATTTATTTTTCTTGTCTGTATGCAGAATATTTTGTAAAAATTATAAAACTGCTCAAAACTATGAAAGCACAAGATTCACGTTGCAGATGGTCCATTTCCAGCAAAACAAACTGAGTTATAACATGATGCAAAAATTTTAACTTGAATTTTCAATGCAAAAATGACATATGTATCACTGCTGCATGGAGAAGAGTCCTCCTTAGACTGTAAGTGGGTGTGTGGTGGTAATTTTAGTCTTCACCTCTCTCCAAACTTGCCACATCCCTACCTTTGAGTTTGAGCAGGTGATGCAGGCCGCAATACCTCGCTGCAGAGGCTTGCAGCTTGCCAGGATTTGCTCCTTCTTCATGACCCCCAGTAGGAAGGTGAGGAGCTCCAGGGCAGTGCAGATGTTGCCATAGTTTGGTGAACCAGACTCAACAGATGCAAACACCTTGTCAAACCAGCTCAGTTTCAGGTCACATTGCTGAAGCCACACGTCCAGCTTCAGCGCAGTCTTCAACAGTGTCACGCAGCGGCGCGAAAGCAGCTCGCCAGGGTTGCCAACCATTGTGTTAGCATCATTCACCTGCAGATACATCATCCGCCATCCTGAGTTAGTCCTACTGATAACCAGCATGCTTTTAAGTTTGCATTGGGTTACTGGTTTAGCATATTTCAAACTTTATAATTTTTAGAGTGTTAACCCTATGTGTAAATGTAATGTGTGGGCAATACAACAGTGATAACAACTTACCTGGCAAGCCAGTCTCAACAAAAAGTTCAGAACAGTATCTGCATGGGCCCTTTCAATAGGCTCTGCGCTCCCTGGCTCAACCTTTGGTATCACTGTAGGCACAATGTTAGAGCTAGTTCCAGATGCATGGCGCTTCCTCGACTCGGAGTTCAGGTTAGAGTCATCGACGGAGGGCCGCTTCACCCCTACTCCTAACGGGACGGCTGCGATCTGAACAAAGCAACATAGTGAAGTCACTGCTTGTGTCATGCCACGGGATTCTGCATGACACCGCTTCAGCCGAGTACTTACGTCCTGCGTGTCAGACTGATCCCTTATTCGCTGCAACTCCCACTTCACTATCACTTCTGAAAGCTCGACAGCTAGTTTTCGGTGCTCGATGGTTCCTGTGGGACTGAAGCCGAGTCTCTGGATGGAGTTCACCATGTGCTGCACCAAGTGGTGACGCACTGGATAATAAACCTTAACAACACAAACAGAAAGCTGCAGTCACAAATATGATGCTGAGACATCGAAACATGTTGTAATATATAGCGCAAATTGTAACATCGAGGAAACGATAAATAGCGCGAAATATTTATATCAATTTTAATTTTTAACATCAATATTAATATAGTTTGTGTATAGACTTGAAGAATAAATATATGTATGTTTATTATGTTCTGACATTGTCCATCACAGTAACTTTATTTTCAAAACTGACAACTGCAAATCATCATGCACCTTGTAGTGTCGGACAACGAGCTGCAGGATATGAAACAGCTGCTGTACGGAGTGTCCCTCCTCTACGATGATCTTCTTGGTCCAATGTGTCAACATCGTGTTCCCATCCTCCATCCGCACTGGCATGGACGGAGTAAGAATCTCCAGAGCCTGCCGCACTACACTGCGTGCCTCAATTGCATGTGCCTTCAGCAGACTGTGAAAAACTGTAACAAATCCACTCATGTTGGCAATGCCACGTCAACATAACATACTGTCTCCTCACTGCAAGTTATGTCTGCCAATTAAGATTCAATCCTATTTCTTTCTAAATATTTTTTAGCTGGCACATCATTATCTCTTCCTGTCATTTAAGACCAGGTAATAATAGTTATAAACAGTGTTAAAGAAGGGAATTGAATGGAAGGAAGATAGAAGAAGGAAAACAGAAAGATGCAGGTAGAGTAAGAAAGGCAGAAATGCCACTTCAACTTTTATCTTTAATAAAGCAAATACTTGAGGAAACACTCTAAACAGTGCCATACATAAGTTTTGCAACAATGGGTAGTAACTGCTATAAAGAAATATCAAGACTAATGAAGTACGCAAAATATATCCCCCATTTCTCTCTTCAGCTACACTGCACTCAAAGACTCCCCATTTCTCTTCAGCTACACTGCACTCAAAGACACTCTGCGGTTACCAACATTAAGACACTGAAGAGTCACCCACCTTGGAGGACAATCCTCTTGTGGATAGCAAACTTAGCGATGATGTGCGACAGCAGCAGGTGGCCATGGTAGCGTGTAGCAGGGTCCACACAGTTCTTAACCAGAAGACATGGCCATGCAAACATCATGAGGCGTCTTAGTTTGTTGCCTGTTGGAGCAAAACACACCACAGGGTATTCCAAACTGAATACGTGGAACTACAGTAGCCATCCATAGTATGTTACGAATTTCATGTCACATAAGAAAACTACACATTTTCACAATTAACTGTGCTCCATCTACCCCTTTCTAAAGAATTGCTCTTCTCATTTGGAATTAGAAATTCTTACAGTGATAAATATGTTGACAATGATATTCTTGGTTGTGATGCCATGATATTTCAGAGGAATGTTAACCCTGAGGATGAGTAAATATGCTTCTCCAAACTTTCGGTAATGACCGAAGCCTACATGACGTAACAGATGAGAAGACAATGACTGATGATTGCTATTCTCAGGAGGATCTGAAGTTCTCACGGTGGCGAATATGAAGATGGTTGTTTTCTGGGTTGTAGCACCATGCAGTCTTGTATGTGTTTACTGACGTTTCTGTCATCAGGGTGATTCATTGCCTTGATAATGGTGGCAGAAAGCATCTCTGAAACATCAGTAAACTTATACCTGACTACAAACCAAGAAGACAGCCATCTTCAATTGTTCTTGTCCATACATGGAAATTCCTCAGCAAAACGTTTGGTGATCCATTAAAACTGTCTTAATGCTCACCACTGAACAGAAAGAGAGCCCCCATAAAATATGTCTCTGTCTGCATGTCTTCCCCAGTAACTTTTGAAGCTACTGATAAATTTTCATGAACATTATGCTGGAGGTCATTGTAAGTAAATCTGCAGTAACAGTAAAGACCACCTTGTTACAGGTTTCCCCATGAAAATTCTGTATGCATTTCATCACCTGATCAAAACTAAGTTTCAAGGCTTTCACAACCTCCTTGATTTCAACACACTTCTTAATGAATGACAACAAACTGCTGAGGTGGTAGAGACATTAATTATTACTATGACAATGTTAAGAGCACACATAATCCTTAATTTTTACCATTCTGACTGACAGCAATAACTGAGGAAGCACAGTGGCTAGGGACAAGGAATTTGATCGCAAATAGATTCTGTACAAAACATTTAATCTTATGGAGAAAATTACACTAGAATTTATGAGAAAAAATGCAATCCTCTGGTAGTACAACACAAAGGTTCAACACCACTAACACCAAAGATCCTTATTAAACATTATCCTGAGCCACTTCCATCCATTGCCTATCCTCACAACTAATTTTCTTAAGATCCATCTTAATGTCATCCTCCAATATCCTTCTGAGTATTCCCATCAAAATTCTATATGCATTCTTTAGGATTCTGCAATGAAATCTTTTCAGCTGTGCAAGTACTGAATTACTAGCCACCATCCATCATTGCTTTCAGTTCTTACATCTTAGGTTTCACAACCCTAATACTAGAGACCCTGTACAAACCACAATGTTCCTTTTGATAAAATTTCAAAAACTGTTACCATAGTTTATTCCTGTTGTCTGAATATTTTATTACGGAAGTTAACTGACAAATTATTAATTTATAATTTTCAGTAGCATCTCTACAAATTACTAACAGGCAAGGTTTATGCCACAGAGCATTCCATCCTGCAAAGCACCAAACATTCATGTAATTTCATCACAGACACATGCTACAATTACCTGATACTGCAGCGAGGACCGAATCATGTTTCTCCCACACAAGAACATGCACCTACAACCTACCAGCAGAATACTGTGACTGGTTACACCATTACATCTTATAGCAGTGAAGGATTACATGGGCATGAGAATAAAGTGGGAAGTTTAATCAAAGCTACATGCTTCTTGCATAGTTTTATAATCTGACCCTGCAGCCTGGGGGGGGATTATTAACACTTAGGTAGAGAGGTTAGCACTCTTGCTTAGTATTCAGGAGACCCTAGGTTCAAATCTCAGCATGGGCACCAGTTATCCTGGCTAAGGTCTACTGTCAGTCCCTTCAGGAAATATCAGGATAGTATCCTAACTTTTCACATCCTTTCCAATTCATTATGCATCATCAACCTATCATCTGATACCACTTAACACTGTAAAGCTTAGTGTTAAATATATGTATCACCTGATTTCACAATCAATAACTCTGCATCCTGCAATGATGAATTAAAACAAATTGGTAACACTGTAAGTTAATCCTCGTATTTATTACACAGTCCAGGACCTTATTCCTGGATCACAAATCCCCAATTCCTGAAGCTACTGAGACCTTCTTTGCACTTAACATTGGTTAATTAGCAACATGGTCATGTGAGCAGTGGCACAAGAGCCTAGCAGTCACAGCATTCTGCTCTACCTACTACAGGCACTACAGAGCGCAAAGTTATACAGACAGCTTGGTACCCTGACGTTTGTTCGCTGCGTCATGGATGTGGGGTGATGCTTGCTCAACCAGCAGGCAAGAGAACTGTAGCAACAGAATCCGCACAGCATCCGAGCTGCCAAATGGGTTTTCTGGATCAATCACCTGAAACACAACAAACTCAGACATGAGCCTCCACATGACTCTGCCCCCTTTCTGAGCACTTAGGGTGGCCGCACACCAACTGCGTCAAGACAAGCATCAAGACATGAGACAAAAGATGCAGTCTTGCTTCATTCGTGATTCAGACTCGAGTCCGCACACCGAAGTAGCATGTGTCTGCGTCTTATCACATCTTCTCTAGTTGATGACATGACGTCGTCCAGTTTTATGTGTGATTAAGAGCAGACTTGTAAGAAACGAGCTTATGCTCAAAGTGTATAATAGTTAATTCAGTCATTAGCTCATTAAAATAAAATTAATCAGTGCACTTACCATCTGTTTACTCCTTTTGAAACTACATGCCAAGCTTTATCAACCTCCTCCTTGTTTGAGTGGCCCGGGGACGAATAATCGTATATTACCGGGAATTTCTCAACGGTCTGCATTATTTCAATATTTATTTGCTCTTCACTCATGTCGGTTTACTCCTTTTGAAACTACATGCCAAGCTTTATCAACCTCCTCCTTGTTTGAGTGGCCCGGGGACGAATAATCGTATATTACCGGGAATTTCTCAACGGTCTGCATTATTTCAATATTTATTTGCTCTTCACTCATGTCGATAACGTACACTGGTACTGTTCCTTGAGTACTGATGTCTCAGTCTTGACGCACTGAAAAGGAACATGCCAGGTATTGCCGCACGTGTCAGCAGCATGAAGCTGATGTCAGCATCATGACTCAGACTGGTGTGCGGCGGTTTTCATAATCTCATTCGTTTCAATTGTGCTCCTTTTTTTGAGTCATGTCGCAGACATCGTGTCTTGACTGTTACATGTCTTGACGCATGCCGGTGTGCGGCCTACCTTAGAGTTCAGGTGTATCAATCAGTGTTTGGAATAACTTACCAGTCTCTAATGGTATCATATTATGATAACCATCTAACCAACTGTGACAAGATACACTACGATGTGACAGAAGTCTCCAACACAGAAACACATCTGAATCTGAGAGAATTCTGCTCTTGCTGGTTTTGATATTAAAGACCAAGGCACAGATGGGAGAATAAGACTAGAATAGACCTTTCTGAAACATGATGTAATGGAGAGAAGTGGATGGGGCCGAAATGCAGGTTTTCTGAATGTGGTAGTGAACCCTTGGGTTCTACAAGGACCTGAATAAGTAACTCAGTAAAGCAGTCCTGACCTTGCTGATGAAGACAGACACCACATTGTCTGGATTGTCTTGGTCAGGTGATGCAGGGCTGCCAACCAGCTTTTCTCCTTCCCCACGCTCAAAGCTCTGAGCAAAGCAGGGGATCAGTACCATCTGCAGTATCTTTGACTTGAGTTCCTGGGATATCGTTGGGCTTGGGAAGAGCTCGACAAAGCGGAAGAAGGCAGACCGCTTCCACTCTATGGTGTAGCTCTGGGCCACCACGTTCTCCAGGAAGTCCCGCAGGAACTAAAATAGTTCAACAGTCTCATCCACAGGACCACATGGCAACATAAAAACAATGGACTTTCAACTTTTATTGGCTAAATATGGATTGGAGTACGGATACTTATTTGTGTTTTAGAGGAACTGAGAAAGTTAATGAGGGACACCAGTATTACATTTTAAGAAGAAGAAGAAGTTTCCTACATGCATATGGGAAAAACACAAATTAAATCCATGGATCCAACCCTTCATGCCAAGAATTTCCAGTATCTGGAATGATGTTCCACTTCAACATTGAATTATTTTTTCTTTAATATAATAAATGTATATCACAAGAATACAGTAAAACCTCTCTAAGTTGGACACTTGGGGTTCCACGAAAATGTGTCCAACTTACAGAGGTGTCCAAGATAGAGGGAAAGATAAATATCGATTGTGGTCTAATGACAATATAGTCTATTTACTTACATACACTAACTGCTGTAGGCTTACTTAAATTAAGAATTAATGACAATAGTATTAATAATAATAATCTTTTGAAGCCCACTCCCATGCATTGCACATTACACCCCAGCCTCAATAACATTTCCTAAAGTTAATTCCACCAATTTTCGCTTCCCCATCGCAAAAACAAAAATTCCATTTCTGTTAACAGTCTGAACTCAAATGCTAGCAGAGTTAAAACTGTGTCTTCTGCGATACTGTAGTCCAGTTAAGGGTTCAGCAAAAGAATAGTCAAACACTTGAAATGCATTCCAGTGCTGGGTTCAATGTCCATAAGATAATCCTCCAGAGAGGAAGCATTCATCAGTCAGAAATTCAAAATAACAAAATATGTAACTGAAAAACTTTCCCTGAAAAGCATCGAAGTTAAGTGCATGAACCTGTCCAACTTACAACAAAAGAGGTGTTCAAGTTCCAGGATAAAGGGGTGTCCAAGATATAGGGTATTGTGGACATGTAAAATTATAGGATATTCGCCGGTTCCAATTAAAAGTGTCCAATATAAAGGGGTGTCCAGGATATAGGGGTGTCCAACTAGAGGGGTTTTACTGTATATCACTTCTTTGTCTAGACTTGCTTCACAGTGAACATGGTAAGGACAAAATTCAAGAGCTCCCAGTGAATTGATGTGACAAACCTGGAAGTCCGGTATAAATCCTTCACACAAGGCACGCAGCAGTTGAAACAGCAGGTCAATGTTGTTCGGGTGGTGGCAGAAGAAGTGCAGGAGGATCTTCACGATCAGTTTTGGTTCCTTCCAATGCTGGTAATCCACACAGTCCACCTTTCTGTGGAACTCCTGCTGGACAAACAAAAATGCAGTCCTGTTCACTTCTAACATAACAGGACTGTTGTGTTCCACTGAAGTAGAGACATTTTATAAATATATTCCTTGGGAATTTGCGTACCTGACTGTCTTGGTATTAATTCACTTCAGATACACATCTACTGTTACTAAGCTAACTCACCACAGACATCACACTGCACAGCTATAAATTTCTTTCTTTATTCCACCAAATATTCACTGTATTTAAAGATGTTTCAAATAACACTTTTAGATCATAATAAGATCTATATTCTGTCGTACACCAAATATTGTACGATCATCTGTCGAGGAAATCAAAAGATATTCCAAAGGCACGCCTTAAAATTAAAATCAAAAACTCTCAAAACAGAGTTCCTAACACTAGACCTGGCGTTGTGGCAATGCCGCTGATCATCCATCTTTGCAAGCAGCCAGACCTGGCGTTGTGGCAACACCGCTGATCATCCATCTTTGCAAGCAGCAGCAAGAGGCATGGATATGTGGCCACCGTGTCTCTAACTTACTTCACATAAAGTTCTGTACCTGATACTGGTCATCACACCAGATCTGCTTGTAGGCATTCACAAGCTGATGTTGTGATGACAACCACTGATCATCCATCTTTATAAGTAATGACGTGATGCGTATGCTCTGGTACTGCATCTCTCGCTTGTCCACTGCGGAATAAATCAGATCTGTTACTCTGAGACCACTAACACCATGAATCAGAGTACTCCTTGAGAAGCTGATGGTTGGTATCACTGTTATTAGAGTAGCTACAAGCATAAAAAAAGATATCTGAAATCAATAGCGAATTTGTAGTGTGTTGCATATCAAGTATCTTCAGAACCATCAAACGACAGTCATCACCACTGAAACATCACACCAGTAAGCAGCCTACCTGGCTGAAGAGAACTGTTCCCAAGCACCAGGCTGATAAGCCGTGCGCTGCTGTTCTGCAGAACATCTCGGAAGCGCTTCCCATCCTTGTGCTTCATCAGGAACTGCAAGCAGCGACTCCACTGCTGATCCTGCAGAAACATTGTAAGGAAGAGACACTACAACATGCACGATTATACTTTATCATGTGCTTAAGTTGCCTCTGTGTCTATGCTAAGTATGACAAAGGCATACTGAGAGCGCAAAGATGATGTTCAATGCCTTTGAAAAAGACATATAGCATTACATGGTTTAATCTTCTAATGCTTAAGTCACTATATAAATCATGAACAATGTGTGTGAAAAGGTTAAACAGTGTTTAAAAATGGGTGTGTATGGAAGAAAAGAAAGTGACACACAATAATGAAAATTATATTTCTGTCATGAGTTTGCATATTCAGACTGTAATTCACAGAATTATGTATCACCTTGATGTTGTTGTCATGCAGAAACAGGTCAATGGTCTCCTGTGGGAAGCGCAAAAGAAACTTGATCATCGGGTCCCGAAACGGAGAACTCGCCTCCACCAGTAGGCTCTTCTCTGTCTGCAGTACCAGGCGACACAGTACGTCGATGAACTTTGGCGTCGCGGCAGGAATCTGGTGGAAGATTCCGATAATGGTCGCTATCTTCTGCTCATTCTCTCCACTCTTTGACACGCCTATGAGAACAAAGACCAGGGAACTCCTAACCTCACCATTTTATTCTGTATCAATGGATTATTATCATTTTGTATGTTGTAAATGACGAATGGGAAGGCATGTGGAAGTCGTCAACACCCATTCTAAAGATGCTGTCACAGCATGTGTCTGAAGGGAATGATTTTCTGTAAATCACATACTCAGGTATTTATAAAATACGATGCAATTTTCATGAAATGGAAAATAAATTTCATTTGTCAGTGTTAAGGCAGGACAGGCTGGGCAAGTTACACAGAGGCCTTGGCAAGTAGCTCGAATTTCACCTGTGGAAGAGCTGAGGTACTATGAATACCGAAAATTCACATTTTTTAGTTAAGTGACGATGATAAATTTGACTACCAGCCATGATGGCGTTGATAGGACAGACTCAGAATACTTTGCACTAAATTTGTAGCAAAATACCCAAATGCTACTTCTTATCACCACTATATTGTGACCTAAGCAGTCTATTTTGTACTTCTCAGTAAAGAAATGAGGGATTTTCTAGTTTCATCACTTCCACACCCATCACCATTTACAGGAACATGCCAAACACTACCTTCCTCAGTTACCTTTGTGGGCCAGAATGGCAACTTCCAACAGTTTCTTAAGGTGCTGCAACAGCTGCTCACAAAGCTTCTCATTAAAACTTGATGGAAACAGCTGGGTCAGGTATGACAGGCGCTTTGCCCCATTCAGGCTCAAGTTGCGGTAGTCTCCCAGTGTCATCAGCAGTGGACGCATCACTGTGTGAACCTAGAATAATCAACAGTGCAAAAATGAAGATAATCTTGATCTTATAATACACACTTCTTATGTCTTCATGCTGATTATACAAATATTAATGACAATTATAAATGTACTGGAACTTTAGGGCAGTGTGTTCTACCAACAGTGCTGTAATGAGACGAAGCAACTGAAAGTGAATCCTGGTATATTAGACATTTCAAGTGTAACTTGTCCCTGAATGCACTTTCTGAGCATTTCACAATATGATGTAAGATAATATTCCCATTCCCCACTTGTGAGCACTCACCATTTCCATATCAATTTGGAAGCCTCCAATGAACTTCTTCATGCACTCAAAGCCAGCCTCTTGAAGTTCTGGGTTTGACTGCTCCAGGGCTTTATACAAAACTGGGAATATCTTCTCTCGGCAGGACTGGATGTAGTGGCAGGCAGCGAGAGCCTGAAGCGCAGACTTACGCAAAGGGACAAGATTTGTCACCGACTTGTAACACGGTAGCTTGTTGAGGACAGCGTCCTCTGTCTCACACAGGGACAACAGTTCATGGAAAAACACCTTGTGCTCTATGATGGTCAGGTCTGGAACAGAGTGCATGACTGGATAGGAAATATCGCAATGAGAGGGGCAACACATTTTAATGTCACACAACTGAAACAACCGGATTATTTATTACCCAGATGGTCAAGAAATTTTATGAAACCAAAAGTTTTGCAAAGTCCACCACAGGATTCTATTCTGTGTCTGTTTAATCCTGTTCACATTCTACTTCCTAAAATCCATTTTTATATTATACTTCCATTTAAACCTATCTTTGAAAATATCTCTGCCCAAGAGGTTTTCTAAACACAATTTTGTTTTCATGTATTCTTTTCCCATGCCTGCTACATAGCCAACTTATGCAATTTTAAAATATTTACATGCCATAAAAATACTTGACAAAGAGTACAAATTATGATGCACCTCATTAAATTTTTCCTTCATCTTTCTGTTACCTAAAGTTTCTTAAGACTACAAATTCTCCCCAACTTTCTCTTGTCAAACATCCTCAAGTATATTCATCTGTCAAGGTAAGAAACCCAAGTTTCATGTACATACAGACAACTGGTATATAATTACTTTTGCATTTAACTTGCTTCTGTGTGTAATCAACACACGATGAAGCTACATTGAGGGCATGGAGGCAAAGCCCAAGGCTTTTTCAACCTCAGGAACAGACCTATACCATCACATACTTTGGTGTTTTAGAATGATGGAAACCTTACTCACTTGCACTTCTGCCACTCACCGATAGTGAAGAGTCGTGGCTCCAGCGTGGTACAGAAAGTGTTGCCATCCATGATGCCAATCTGTGCGTTGGCTGGCTGGTGGCGCAAGAGGTGTTTTTTGGGTGGTATCATGTCTTGGAGGACCTCTTTGTGTGGCTCCATTACCTCAGTCACTGTTTTGTTCTGGATACGTGCCAGGACCTCCAGAGAACGCATCGCCTTCGGCACAACATTACCTCTTAGTACATATTTAATAAAAAATATCTTCTACAAATACAACTTCAATATATTAAACAACTACTGATGTACAGCAATTTATTAGCAACAAATACTGCTCTATTCCAATTGGGCAAGTCTGCAGTGGCTTGGCACAGAATTCTTCAGCAAATGTATTTTGACAATTTCTCATTTACACTTTTGTACAATCCATCAAAAATACACTGAGGTGTGCATCAATACATTTCTTGTTCCATTTGGCTATAAATTATTCTGTATGTAATAAATAATCAGAATTCTGCACCTAATGGTTAATATTTACCTGCTCTCTGACGAGACTATTAGGGCTGGTAACTTGCCGCACAAGCTCATGTGTCACTTCAAAGAGACTCTTCTGCTGTGCATTCACCACATCATCATTAGTTCCATCTCTCTCAACTGGAGCAGCACAACTAGTGAGCATCTTTTCCAGGTTTGCCTTCGCCATGTCAATAGCACCACTTGAAACCTACACGAGGCAGCGACCACCATCAACACATAATAATGGAATGTCTGTCCTAGGTCAATTTAATAATACTTTAATAACTATGCATTACTGTCGGTTTTAATGTCAGCTGACATTAAAACCGACGGTAATACCCACGCAATGTGATGACGACCTCTTGAGGTCATAACACGTTTGGCACAAAGTGTTATTTAATGTGTAAACAGTTTTGTTTGTATGCATGATTTTATAGTATTCTAGTCATTTAAGTACCTCTGCGAAAGCCGTATATTCTGAATCAAGCTTATGACATATTAAAACCCTTCCAACTTGGACGGTTTTAACAATTTATGCAGAACATTCCCAACAGTCAATCTCTGTTTCAATACAAACAGGTATTTATTTATTCATGGCAATAGTAGCAAAGTTATTATAGCACTGAGAACTACGTATAGTAATGAAATAAATAATGACCATTCCTCAGTGATTTGAATTGAGATATATATATATGTATACATACATACCGGGAAAATGTAAACGTATGACCACCATCTTACTAATGTGAAACATAGTTTCCTCCTTGCACACTATCAAGAGAATCATCTTCAAAGTTGATGACTGAGACAACAGACATGAGTTAAAACTGCACCACACATGCCATGTATGTTGGACAATAATGTGTGATAAAAGAGCATATTGGATGGAAGTGAAAGTACTATTGTATATGAACCATTTGCCTGGAGGCATTGAAGACAACCACAAAAACCTCACAGCTCTGGGTTGATGAAATACGAACAGTAACACCGTCCCAGTGACAGGTATAAAGATGAACAGACCTCTCCAGTGAGATCCATCATGACGAACAGCAGGGCAGTGAGAAACAGGAACAGATGTTCATGTACCCACCGCATTGCCATGCGCTCAACCAGGAACTTTATGGCAATGCAGCCACCCAGCTTAGCGTACCAGGCTCGCTCATAGCACAGTGAACACATGCGCTCTGCCAGATACTCCATCAGGGGCAGTTGGCATGCCTGGAAGAGAAGCACTGTTTATACATGTCACTTGTTTGTTTCTGCATTTCTACATACCTTTCAGAGAAGAGTAAGGAAGGCAGGTAAAGAAGAGGATAAGATGAAGAAACAGGAGTGAAAGAAGAAAGAAAAGGAGGGGATGAAAGTTAAGAGCACATTAAGAAGAAAGGGAAGGAAACAGAAAAAAATATGACACAGCAAGTGAAGAATAAAGGAGCAGGAACAGAAGAAAGTAGAGAAAGATGCAAGGGAAGGGGAAGGATAAAGAATAAGAATAAAAAGAATTACAACATAAAACAAGACGAGACACTGTCCCAGTCTACATCCTTCAGACTGTATTTTGGTTCATGTTCTCCATTCAACCATTCAGTGGATATTTTACGAATAGTTTGCTTGCCTTCTGTTTGGAGCCGAGGATGTTGATCGCTGTCTCCAAGACAAGAACGAGTGCCAGGTGTCCCGGCTTACACAGCTCCTTCTCCTCATGCCCCATTATGACAGCGAGGGAGTCTATAAGCACCAGTGGGTCCATGCCCTTCAGGTTCGCCTGTTTTGATGTCATGGAGAAAGGACCTAAATAAAAGATTAAGAAATGGGAAGCCACTTCAACACAGCCAACATCTGCAGCACTTCTACTACTACTAAGGTGAATTCAACTGACAAGGAGCAAGAGGTAGCCATATCAATTAGATTTATTTTCCATATCACCATCAGTAATGCCACTTTATAATACCTTCTGGAAGCAAAGGCGGAAACTTCACCATCAGTAATATAAATTGTTTCAATGTCGAACAGTCTAAATTTATAAAACTGAACTCACCAGCTTGCTGTGATATCGCCACCATTGTGTAGTGACTAACAAGGAACACCATAGTTGGCAAAACACACTGTCGTAACTCTTTTATGGCTGCAGCAACAAACATTCCTACCAACATACAAAACAGGCCTTACTGGTTTTTCCAGATATAAAGCAGACATAAGTATGTCAGACACACTTTCAACAAGTTCACATATTAGATATGGTTTTTAAGAGAGATTTCAGGTTCTCACAGTGGTCTTTTGGGTTTTAACACCATGTGGACTTGCAGAAAACCAACACTGATTATGATTTTTAAACATTTAATGGTTCACTATATCAGCTGAAGTTATCCTTGTGACTAAGCAAAATGCCATGAGGCAGTGGGAGCATGGAGGAAAACTCCATGCATTCTCAATTATAGCCCTATATGGCAGTCAGCCTCAAAATGTGGTTCCTTACACTGGCAAAGAAAAATCACATTCTTGATTATTTCTTTGTAGTCTGAATACAAGAAATTTCAGGACACAAATAGATAAGTTCTTTATTTTATTAAAAACATTTACTACTTTTCAGGACAAAAGGTCTTCAACACTTTCTTCTTCTTCTTCTTTCAATAATGGCATTATAATTCAGAAAAGAAGTTAATTAAGCAATTTACTCAATTTTTCATTACAAGATTAACAGCAATTAGGTAACAAATTAAACGTAGAAAGTGCCTGACAGCCTGATTACTCACAGAAGCTACTGACATCATATCTACTATCAAATGGATGAACTTGCCTGTGACTGCCATCTGGTGAGTGGCTCTGGCTTGCTTGTCCTGCAGTCTGTAGGGAATCCCATGGATTGGGGAGATCTTCACATGTGGATCATCAAAACTGCAACAGCGAATCACAATGAGTAAAGATAATTACACTCACATCCTAATGTTCAATGTACGAAATGTTGGTCACAACAGTGGCCAATGCAGTAGCTGCTTCCTAAATCAGAAACTGATGTACGAGGGACAGAGCAAATGGGAAATCTGGGTTTATGATATGACAAAGAAATGCATTACTTATAGAAGCCACCTGGTACTGGCAGGATACTAAACACAAACTAATTGTGATACAGCCTCTTACGGGCTCACTGTACCAGCCGCTGATGATGACAAGTAAATACCGAGTTCTGGGTGTTCAGAGAAAAATCTATACCACTGCCACTTTCCTCACTATCAATCCATCAAAGACTGCCTTGGGACTTAGCTTACAATTCTGTGATGAAAAGCCAGTGGTTAACAATCTATTATGTCATGTTAGTACCATCAGGCTGGAAAAACATCTTTTATTTTGTACACCATTTTAATATCAAGAATGAGGTTAGTTTGACAATATTCTTCTGCCTCCAACTGCTCTTATATACCTTGGACAGGAGAAAAGCTGCTGCACTGTATTCTTATCATCATTAAGATTCAGGGATGCCACCAAGAAACAGCGAATTACTTCCCAGCACTGACGACGGTAGAACGGATCCGTCGTGCTTGACTTCAGAGCACTAAATGCTGTCTCCACGACCTGAAACACATAAGCAACAGTTTCAAGTTATAACGAGTGACAACACATGACAACGCAGGCCAGATTCACTGGTAAGGGAAGTCAAATGTTTTAGTTAGAGTAACTTGCATATGGCATCGTTAAAATACTTTCAAGTACTGCACTTACTGTAATACTCTAAACACCTTTTCTCCACATCAGGGTGCATGTCATATTTATACAGTGTATTTCCAGAATCTTTGGGTTTCATGGACACCAACATATCATTGACTAGACTTTTATTTTGTAAGTGGAAACAAGTTTGACAAATCTCAACAGTAAAATAAAAATTAATTACAAGTATATAATTTTTGTATAGTCTATGGCACTTGCTGTAATTAGCATATTTTGTACATATTTCGGGTCTTGAGTCTGTGCTCTCTGTCAACTTGAACAGTCCAGATGAAGAAATTGAGATGGCAAAGATAATATCCCACATCCTTCAGGTATTGTAGACATCAATAAATTAAATTCCAACATTATTTTTTAAGTTACTGCTTTGCACAAACGTGGTGTTAGTCATTGGCATTCCTCTAGTCCATACCTCGCTTCTGTGTGAAAATGTGCAAGTCACTGACAGATATGAGGGCATGAATACTATACCTTCTCCACAGGAAAGTCTATGGGTCTAGAGTGCTCCTGAAAATATGCAATTATCGCAGGACCAGGCGTCTCCCTGTCATTGTACTCAAGTTTCTGGGGCTCAATCATCATCTTCCGGTTGCCCCCACCAAATTTTCCCAGGACCCTGCAATGAACCAAGGACACAACTGTACACCCCTGATTTCATGTCTCTTCCAAATTGCAAATGCTTAACCCTGTTGTGTACAAATGACATGGTTGGATTGAGGAACAGGGACCATGAATTCAAATATGTAATTAACTACCCAGGACAAGACAAAGAGAGATTAAAGTCATGGTTGAAAGGTTAGCTAGCACTCCTGCTTTAAGTTCAGGAAGTTTAAGGTTCTTCTGTGTGGATATTGACTAACGTGAGACAGCAAAACTAGACAAAGTGTCAAATGCAGCCAAAACTTAAGTGTGCTCCATAAAGTACGGCAACAACAACATGTGGCACTTGTTAAGGGATTTCTCAAACAAGCCCCAGTTACACAACTGGACTGTGACACAAACAAAAGTTGTGGGTATGTGAACAATTTCAAATAACAAATGGTTATTTAGTTTATTTACAGATAATGACACTGTCAATAGTTCACTTTTTTCAACGAATAACAAGATCACTATCAAATAATAAACCGGAAATGCACGACTACTCAAAAATTTCACTTGCAGTTATGGATTACTTAACAATGTTTCATCAACTGCACATATTACATAGCATCTGATGAGACGTGAGGAACATCATGAGAAATTCAGGAGAAGGGTTATATAACCTACTTTCCACCACTGAAGAATTTCTCTTAAACAACTACACGGAAGCACTTCAAAAAAGATCAGACTGTCCACAGGTAGCTATTGTAGGAGCCTGAATTTTACTATCTGATTTCAGCTTCATTTGAATTTTATGATCTAACCTATTTATAAGTGATAATTTAACTTATTACTACCAGTTGTTTAAATCTTCTAGTAACTTTTACTTAACAACACTTAACAAAAAATTGTAATACAATGGAGGAAATAATAACAAAACTTCTTCAAGCTAAATACATAATTGGACACCACACAGTACAGTCAACTGCAGACGTGCTTGTACCTGAATGCTACGTGTGCCACCTGGTCAGTTGGATTGTGCACAGTGCGCCACAACGCTTGCATCAGATCTGCTCGTACAGGTTGAATATGCTCATATAAAAAATCAGGTTGCAGGTTGTCCACACACAACTCCAGAGTACGAAGACCCTATTACCAACATAACAACACAGAGACTTTACTGACTTGACAGAAGGTATTGAGTCCTCATGACAGACATGACAATCTCTTATTGAGAATATGAAACTGTTGCCAGTATTTGATGGACCTCAGTGACAACGTTCACACTCCAACTGCTTTCCTCTTAGCAAAGCCTCCGGTAGGTGTTCCCTGGATAAGAGAACTGGGGTACCACAGAAGCATTTTGGACACAGTGGTCATGAAGAATAGATTTTCAATGCCACTACCAGAACTAAAACCAAAGTTACCAGTCAGTTTACTGTCTACCACAAGCCAACATTAAATATGTCACTGAGAACCATTTATATTAAGTGTTATGGAAATGAGTTCAATAAATGTGGAGATATTTCAAGCACATATTCAGACAACTACTACAGAAGGTCCTTTCTTTAAAGTTGAAGCATTAACTGAATGTATATACGGTTTACCTGGCTGATGAGGGTGGAGGAGCCATTCAGGGCAGATACCAGTGGGTCCATGAGCATCGGCAGGTATGGCAGAAGAGAGCTCAGTCGAACGGGAACTGTCAGGCAGAGCTCCACAAACAGATCCTTCATGTGCTGCTTGTGCAAGCCACTCTGCAGGCTGTTGAGGCCTATACAGACCACAGAAATGCTGTTAATTCCTGAGCAACTTACTCCTTTAACATTAACAATGATGATCCAGTTCTTTGATAAAACAAACTGCTAAAAAGTATCATTAAACACCCCAACAATCAACTAATTACTAAATTATGAGATGTTAAAATTTATAACTGATTCCTGCTCATTTTACTTTTCTCTTTCACTCAAAAATAAGTTAAAATTCACCACTGGTTTGCAGATTAAAGGGTTCATTTTAGGACTGAAAACATGTGCTATAAAAAATGAAGACCTTGCAGAAGGCTGGGCAAGAGTGGAAGGAACTCCTGGTACAGCAGGTCATGGCTTCCTCCACCGATAGAGCGGAACAGTGCGCGCAGCAACAGGAAGTAGTTGTATGGTTCCTTGGCAGTCATCGCCAGTTCCATAGACCTGTAGCAGACATTTCAGGGTTCTGAGAAATCAGAACATAAATCTCAGGCTGTACAAATAAGTATATCCTCACAGCTGCCTTACAACTTTTCATTTCATAAAAAATTATCCTAATAAAAGTGCAAAGAAACCAAATAAAACTTCTGGGTCTTACACTGAACACTAGAAGCATTGTAAACTGAATGACACTAGCATTGTTCGTCTCAGAAGCTAGCATAGCTGCCATGATGAGAATGTTGATAACAGAGTATGTTTTAAAATGTCAAATTGCAGTGGTACACAGTTCAAAACGAATTTCACAAAAATCAAGCAATGCAGGGTCTATAACAATTTTGTCTGCAGATATATCAAGGTCACACAGAAAGAATGAAAAACAGATAGACAATGAGCGAATAAGAGAATAAACAAAAAAAGAAATATGCCAAAATGCTAAGCAATAACTGCGAAGTCCATACCTGAATGACATACTCTAAACATGGAATCACAAAGTCTAGATACCTGTTAACAATCTGGTGCAGGTGTGGTCGAAGCATGTGCTCATTCTCAGCTGGGAACAAGCTCACACTTCCAAACACCAGTTTGAACAGTTTCAAGTACAGGTTACTGCGTTCCACATTACTTCCCATTTCTTCCATCCGTTCCAGCAGATATTCTACCAACACCGTAGCAAAGATAGGAGATGTTGTTGGATTTGAGAGGAATGAGTTGCCAACTATCTGCAGCGCAAAGTTGCGATAGATACGATCGACCATATAGTCAACTGTAGTGGAAAATATCTCCTGGAAAGTCTGTGGGTTCATCATTGAGAACTGAAAAATCCAAAATTAAGATAAATGTTGATTAAAGAAACTAAAGTTGAATTAATGAGATTTGTAGTTCAAAGGATTTTTTGTTGCTAAATGACAAAACAAGAAACATCACAGCTAAGGGACTGCACATTCAAAACAAAGAACATACCAACACATTGGACTGTACACAGTCAAGGTCAGCAGCAAATTCTGCCCTCCTCCAGGACAACTATTATAACAAACCAGATGCTGATCAACTCCCTGACAGGCTGCTCAACTAACCAACTGACTAACATAATGATTGCCAGGATGAATAACATGTTAACTCCTGGCTCACTCTCAAATTAAATTAACCCAATCCTTTTCTGAAACATGGTTCTTCCTGTGCACTCAACAGATACCCAACCCCACCATTACAGTAGACTATCTTGTTCCATGTCACATATCGTTCCAAAAGGCCTACTCTGATACAACCCTTGAAACTGTTTCTGTCTCCTGGACTATAAGTTGAAAAACCAAACTCTTTCTAGTTTCCCAAAGAAGAATGCATTATTAAACTCGCAATACTCACAACTCCAGCAAAGTGTTCCAGCACCTCCTTCTCCTCCTTAGTTCGCACAGTTTGTGGTGACTGGGTCCTCTGTCCACCCGCTAGCACGGTGCCCGGAGCGAGAGGAGTCGCGCTAAGAGTGTAGATGTCCAGAGCCTGCATAGCCCACTTCACAAGTCGGATAAACACAAGTGTCTCCTTGGGCTGAAACTGCTTGCTCTGAATACCTGCATCGCCAGTGCTGTTCTGGAGACAAATGATGACTTTGTACAACTTGTGCTGAACAATATTCAGTGTGCTGCTATGCGCCAATGTACAGTGCAGCAGTACTTACCTTGCACGAGGCACAGCCCCACGTGATGGTCTTCACACCACAAACAAGCGTCTTGACAAGACCGCGACAATCTGTCACACTGTAGTTTCCAGCCTGTGAGGTGGGGAAGCCGAAACGTGATTTATCCCTCTCTTCTTTCACTGGGAGTGGGCCCCCTGCACATGGAGGATAAACCAGGAATTATATTCTAACAGTATCCACACACAGTAACTAGTAGACATGAATGGCTCAGTGCATTTGTACCCAAATTTAAACTATTTTATAGTAAGCTTAATACAAAATTTAAGATGCAATGCTAATTGGACTAAGGTACAGAAAAGCAGCTCCATCTATCTACTGCAAACTTACATGACTGTAAGTCATGACTATTTATCTCCTAAGTAAAGAGTCACTAAGCTAAGTCAAAAATATTCACAACTTTTAAGGAATACATAGCATTATGATAGCATGGACTTAACATTGAACCAACTGAATGCTGAACGGCAATCACATCTTCATACCTTAAATCTCTCAATGTTACTTCCATATTACTTTCCTCTCTTGACATGCAAAACTCACCATCTGCTATGGTGTGAGCATGTGGTGGCTGCTTGGTATCCTCAGTCTTAACTTGGTCCACCCCACTTACGACAGGAGTTGTAGGGGTTGTGGGAGTGCCCACCACAGGGGTGACTGGGGCTGGTGTTCCACCTGGTGCAGTGCCAACTGTCACACCTGCAGTTGGTGATATCAGGGGCTTGCTGTAACAAATAACTGCTGACGAGTGCTAACCTTGCACAGAACCTGGCAACCTTACTGAAATATGAACATTTATTTTACGAGAAGTCCCGGGAAGATTTCGCATGCTTCGTACCAACAGTTCATTAGTTACTACCATCAAAATGAAAGCTAAATATTTCACATATGAACACAATGATATTAAAAATAACTTTATAATTGGCTTTTGGAGGCAGAAAGCACATCTGAAACATCAGTACAGCATTCACAGCTCTTCTGTTCTGTACACAAAGAATTAAGAGCATAAAACTCAGGCAAACTGCAGTGGGATTAAATCCAGGCATCTGTAACCATTAGCCAGTGCCAAATTAGTCCACACAGATATAATTAAATAAGTAGGAAGGTGAACTTCCATCTCTGTGCCCAACAGCCACACAATGAGGTAAAGATCTGTGCCTTTAGACCCTGGTGGATGGGGAAACCCTGGCAATTCTAACTGAAGGCAATAGACTGAGTACTCACTGAGTTATCCTGGACATGAGGATAGGCAGTTGCAGCTTGGCAATGGTCTTGAACTTGATAACAAACACCTCCAGCATCCTCATTAGCAGCTCACGTCCCTGCCCCTTCTCTTCCTCGCTGCGGGCCCTGATACACTCCACCAGGTTAAGCAACAGCTTGCAGGACATGGTCTGGATGCTGCAACACACCACAGAATTAAGCACCACAACCACCAGGTTCTGACCATGGTGAAGATGTTGGCCGAGGTCTTACAGGTTGTTTATGTTATGGTATTTATGTTTTAACCAACAAATTAACACCAGGAGCCTTGAATACCGTAATATTAAAACAGATCTTAAGAGGCATCAGGTATGGAGTGGATTAATCCAGCTCAGCATATGGTCCAATGTTGGGCTTTTATAAACATGGTGATGGATACCTCTAGATTCAAACACAGGATATCAAATACTTACAGAAAGACTTTGAAACTAATTTTCAGCATACAGACTTTAATTTTATAGCCTATAAAATGCAAACAGCAAATAGATATCTGAAATAAGTATGGATATACATGGCACTGGCTATCACCTTGTTGGCAATGTCTCATCATGGACGTTCTTGGAGAAGAGATGAACAGCACGGGCAAGGTCACAGAATGGCAGGTGCTGTCTCACATGATGCACCAGGTCAGCAAGTGTGCTGTATGCCAGGGGACGCAGGGACTCATGCGTGGTCCAACCCTTCCCCAGAAGCACATTCTCGTCAAACAGCCGCTCCATGTAAGGAACAAACTCTGTAATACAACAGACAATATAAAGAATTTATATACAGCATAATACTACTAGTACATCCAATCTGAAAAAAGCAAACAGCATTTGCCAGCATTTAGCAAGTGCTGGGTTGAACCATATTTTCATGACCAATCATCTCACTCTTCCATCACATAAAAGATTTTCATACAGAATTTTCATTCATAATCTGCACATGAGTCCTGTTGTTATATTATTTATCCAAAACGTAGCAAATCATAAGCCAAAAGGAGAACTGATAAAAGAAGATTAATATCAGCTGAAAAATATATTTCATGACAGTACTCACTAACACGCAGGTCAGTCGCAAGAATATGCCGGGAAGCAATGAGGAGCTCCTTGCGCAGATGTGTCACCTCCATGGGGCAGATTGTCAGCATACCCAGCAGCCCCTTCACCATGAGGCTTGAGTGCTGTGCCACCATCTCCTGGTACATGCGCACGATGTATGCCAGGAACGACAGGGTCTTGATCTGTGCTGCCATTAAGTCCACAAACACCTCTTTGTTGAACGCTGGGTTTGCCCTTCAAGAAGCACCATGTATTAGTTTAACTACTGAGAGAACGTAGCATAAACACAAAAAAGTAAGTGAGGAAAACATGACAATGAAATTATTGGCTTCATTTTACTGAAAGAGAACCTTAAATGAAGGGAAGCCTTAAAATGTAAAAAATGAATGAGGATTTAAGTGTAAAATTACATAACACACCGATTGACCAACTCCATGTTACAGGTCTTTCAGACCAGCGGCCCAAAGCAACCAGCAGCTGAAGGCTTAAACACAGTCCCACATCACCACATTTACTCAAACAGTCAGATAAACAGAGCCATATGAGGCATTCAAAATATTGCTTTTACAACAAGGAGACTGGAAACACACTTGCTTATTCTCTACCTCAATAAACACTGATGGAGATTAACAAACTTAAAAGTGAGGATTTTAAAAATGATAGCAATAAACAACACGCCAACAAACAAAAGTTAAATTGGAATAATAATCTTTAGCGCCTACACCACATATTCAAACAACTCTGACTGTTTAGAACAGTGTTTCCCAGACCATCTTCTTCAGAACTCTGATAACATATGGGGTTCCATGAGAAAAATTTGATGACAGTAATTTCTTGCCAACGATCCTTAACATATTATGTCAAACCAGTCTGGTAAACAATGGTCCAAAATATACAGTATGGCAGGAGGTGTCATAAAAAGTAACACTGTACAAAACATGACAATTTTCACATCCAGAACACAACAAATGGAATTAAAACCACAAGAATGGTCACTAATCATATGAAATGTGCTATGAGGTGTGCATCAAAAGAAGAGAGTGTGACTGGCTCACCTTTGTTGAGGTGTCGGCTGGAGCGTGATCGTGGTCATGACAAGGGGAATGTAGTCGATCACATCCTGCTGCACATTTTGTTTGTACATTTGAAACATGAGCACTACCATGATGGGCAACTCCTGTAGAACCTTGAGTGACAACACCCCTTTTGGGATCAGGTTGTACTGAAAGGTTATAAATCCATCAAATCAAGTTTTCTCTTCAAAGTTCAAATGTATATTGTCAAAATATTCTTGTAGCTTTCATGTTCAAATTAACTTTCCTGCATAAAAGACTTATGTAAGGATCTGACTTCATGCGCATAAATGAGCAGAGATACATAATGAGATCAGCAGGTAATACAACACACAAAGAACCTTAATCTACTTCACTGAAACAGAAGAACATTGTGTGTAAGTACTTACTGATATCATGGTGCCATCGGCCGTTTTCTTCTCACTCTGAATGGTCGTGATTGTGTATGTCTCAGTTAACAAGGATTCTATGTTGATCTCAGAGAGATCTTTCACTCTCAGTGTTGGTCGAGGCTCGAAGATCTTTGTCATGTGATTTGGTAATTCCTGGTAAACCGTCCTCACAAACTGCATCAAGTGCTGGATCTGGGAACGACGACAGGTCAAGTGATACAACATTCATGAAATGAAACTCTGTATCTCCAGCATCTTACTCCATGAAATGAGTTTACACCTCACATGCAATTTTAAATATAAATTTTGTTACAATGACCCAATCAAATATAATATGGATAAAATGTTGATATGATGTAAAACAACTGGTCCTCAGGTAACACCTTTGGTGTGATAATGACAGAGTTTTTGTTTTCAATTCCATATCTTTAGAACTGATTTAACCATGTGAATTAGACTGACAGAATAGTTTCATTCAACACTGATCTGGTCTGAATGCTGACTGAGGAAACAATTCTATGTACCATGGTTAGCAGGTAAACTGATCTGTAAACATTAGTAGTTACACATAATAAAACAAAAACATCTGCAGATTAAACGCACGCCACAAAGCATAAACTGTATGTCATACAGCACTCTACTCTCTACTCTTCTCTACTCAACATTCTTCTCTAAATATGTTAGACTAAGCTCCTATTCTACAGTAGTTTTGCTAATAACAGATGTTAGACAATGATACAAAATAAATTACAAAGAATGACATATGGTAGGACCTCCTAAAGGTGATAACACATCAGCCAAAATGATAGACAATTAGGAGGGCCTCTTAAATTCCGTAGCAGGCCAAATGGCCATCATTAGTTTGGAAGATGTTCAAAGAAAGTAGGCTACAAAAGAAGTAATCGTGTGGTACCTCTGGATTGAACGCTGGACGGTATTGCTTATGCAGCTCGATGATTATCCTGACACACACTTGAACATTCTCTTCATTGTCTATCTGCAGAAGCTTCAGCATGAGTGACAGGATTGGCTTCACATATGGACGCAGCAAGTCGTTGGTTGGGAGGCGTGGGATCATTTCCAGAATCAACTTGCGTACTTGCTGCAAGATAACATGGCACCATAACTCTGAAGGCCATAATCTAAATTTTAACTACTACAAAACTGTCAAATCCCATACAGAACCAACTTCCACTATAACCAGCCTCATCACACACTATGCTGAGTAATTTTAGAAGTGAAACACGCAAACAGACATTCTATTCAACTATTTGTGTAAAAAAAACATCAAAAGATTCCTTTGTGCAGTGGCCATTGTCATGCCTTGAGAGCCCCAGAGTTGTGCCCACCTGGATATTGTACTCAGCTATGAAGTGAGGTTCTCCTTCCTGAAGAATTTTGAGGAATATTTTCATAAAATGATCCAAGAATGTTGGATACTGTGCAGATTTTATTATGACCTGCAAATAAAGATAACAGAAACAAAACGTGTAATATGAGAATGACTAATATATGTCACAAAAATCATTAAAAAATGTAAAATATCTCAAGTAGCTATTCTCTACTTGCCTCAAAATTTTCACTGAGTTCTTGTGCAGCCTTCACTTTTATTTCATCCTTGGCACTAGAATCTGCTAAGATGGTTACATAAGATCGGTACTTGTTCATTTGAGTCAGTGGGTCACTTGAGCCTGCAGGCTGAGGTGGTGCCATCTTGAGACTTGTCATGAGGAGTTACTGAAAGGTTGTCTTGACTAAACTACATACAGCAGCTGTAGCAGAAAAATACCAACAGTTCCTATCAGTAGAAACACAAAAGAAGGTGAAGGCTGCAGGAGGCACCATAGCAAGAAATGTATTCATGTGTTCACTGGCCAATCAGCATATTTCCCTCCTGCACAAAATGCTTCATTTTCCTGCCTTCAGTGCCCAGCACTCACCCTAGGTGTGTCATGTTTGTGAAACTTTACATCAAAAAAATTACTGAGATAATCAAATATTTATGTCTGCTTTATACTGGGCTGTATATACATTCAGCTATCAACAACTAACTACTGAAACTAGTGTCCCTTACTAAGGGCTTACAAGCATGGAACACTCCACAATTATAACAAAATAAACAGCATAGACCGAGGCATGAACCAGAAACCTTTAGAATATGAAGCAAGAATGGTAAGAACTGTACAACAATCCCTAACAACATTTAGAAAATTAAAATTTATACACAACAACAAAAAATATATATATTCAAAATAATACGACGTATTTTCTCCAGCTTAGTTACTCCGTAATGTCCCCCCAAATAGTGATTTCCATGCTGCAAATAACGTCTCTGTGCCCAACAAACTCTCACAATTTACCGGTATATACAGAAATATACAACATACTTACACATAACGAAGTACCATGACAACAGATGTTAATGCAATAACACTTCGAGTGGAATACTTTTCGAGATATGTTGAACTGCTCCGACTACTGCAGGCCGAAGCAAACGACAAACAGCAGAACTTAAATACGAATACAGAAAACAAGTTTTAGATTATATAAAAATGTGGCTGTTTCCGATGAATTACCTCATCAGTTGATTGGATTAATCAACGTCTAGAAGGATATTCTCTTTCCATTGTTCTCATTTTAATGATTCAATTCGTTTGCTGCCATTCCAATCAATACAATCGATAGTACAGTTCATAAGTTTGTGCGTAACGATACGAAGGTCGATGATTCTCTACCCATTATCGATGTTGGCATTGTGTGATTGATATTTTTCACGTAATAGATGGCAAGTCACTGTTCATGTTAGGTATTTGTGGAAATACGGCGTGTGTACAAACGTAATACTATATTTAATAGCAGCCATGGTGAGTTGTTGGAAATGTTAATTTTTTGAATGTGTGCAAACGAATAACATGATTTAATAAATGTTAAAGTAGTTAACTGTGTGGAAAGAAGAGCTGAATTGCTTTAATCTATTCGTGCATAGTGCCAAACTTTAGTAAATAATTTAACGTTTGTTGTTCTACTTTAAATTGTGTTACGTTACGTAATGTGCTCTGTAATTATTTTATGTACCTCTCACATTTAATAGAATTTCAAATTCTTAGGATCTTTTGGGTTGTAGCACCATGTGGATGAACTTCCTGCCTTGATTATGGAGGCAGCAAGGGCCACTGAAATAAACTTTTGCCACATTATACGGCTCTACAACCGAGAAGACAGCTATCTTTTTGCAACTCCTTGTTACAAAACTGATATTTCTTACTTTTATGAAGTGAAGCTTTTGTGGCAACTGAAGTTGATGAAACTTACACTGTTGCTATGTTAAATGTTATTCTCAAAAGAAGGTATAAATACACTGTGGGGAGCAAAAGTGACTGATGACATGTGGATTGCATCTTGAGAAACATGTCCCTGCACAAGTGTTTTGGCCCATTCTTAACTGGTTCTTGTTTCTTTCTTTCCAGTCTATCATGTCATACAATGGGGGTGCCATTGTGGCAATGAAGGGGAAGAACTGTGTAGCCATAGCAGCTGACAAAAGATTTGGCATTCAGGCTCAGACTCTGGCCCTGGACTTTCAGGTGAGACAGCATGATCGCATGCCACAGTGACAGTAGTGTTGCCAAGTACTTAGTGTAATCCTGGTGCACATTTGCTTGCAGAAAATATTTGAGATGGGTCCACACCTGTTCATTGGCCTGCCAGGACTAGCTACTGACACGCAGACCGTTCACCAGCGTCTCAAGTTCCGACTCAACCTGTACGAGCTCAAGGAAAACCGCCACATCAACCCAAAGACATTTGCTGCCATGGTATCAAATTTGTTATATGAGAGGAGGTAATGACATTGTTGTGTCAAAATGTGAATATTGTAACTTCCTATGTAAATATAGCCCATCCTGTACATTACTGTGGAATTTGTAGTCTAAAATTGCAATTCATAGCTAGCTGTGAATGCTGAGCTTAATCCTTAAACCTGGTTGGAAAACTTACTAGTAATAAACACTTCAGTATACCAAGATTCAACCCTGTTCCAGACATACTTTCTAAGCTAATGTTGCAACTATATTTCATCAGAGAAGACAAATTTGTCTCACAATCTCAGACATGCTGGAGGCATGGACAGTCTGTGACAGTTTGTTGGCTTGCAGGTTTGGACCCTATTTCATCGAGCCTATAATCGCAGGACTGGACCCCAAGACATTTGAACCATATGTGTGTAACATGGACCTCATTGGCTGCCCCAATGAGCCTGAGGACTTTGTTGTGGGTGGGACATGCACAGAGCAACTGTACGGGATGTGCGAGACGCTGTGGGAGCCTGACCTGGAACCTGATGACCTGTTTGAGACGATATCACAGGCTCTCATCAGTGCTGTGGACAGGGATGCCATCTCTGGCTGGGGAGCTGTTGTTCACATCATGTAAGTTTGCCATGATACCTACTAATACTGAAATCATTAATATGAAACAAACCTTGTAAAGACAGTTTTACTTTTATTTTGAAAATATAACTTCTAGAGTTCATGCTTTCAACATGGAACTTTCTAAGAACAAAAAAAAAAAGAATAAGGTATTTTAATATTTAAAAAAAAAGAATGTTTCACAAAACATTTATTACATGATTATAACTTTATTGTTCTCTGTATACATGTGCTGGTAAGCATATCTGTGTCGTTTGGTTTGCTAACACTGAAAACTACAGCAATCCCCACAAAATGCAGGCATTTATTACACAAGCAGATGTTAAGTGGGGGGTGAGGCTTCTAGCATGCAGTTTGTACTGAACTGGTATTGCTTGTTACAGTGAGAAGGACAAGATCACCACCAAGTCTCTGAAGACGCGGATGGACTGAGCCATGACTTCAGGATTATTTTGCTTTTTCTTTGTATTATGTTTTGTATGTCATTTCCAATAAAGTGTTTGTGCATGGTTTCTTTATGCAAATATCTTCTCCTCTCGACGTTTCTTTGTGACAACAGTGCCAGGCTTGTGTTGAGCATCAGGATGGTTAAGCAGTTCAGGTGGACATGTTGACACAGGACTTGACAGAATTGTGTGCTTCAAGTCATAGAACAGTTCTGAATCATCCTTGGTGCAGAATGAGACTGCCATGCCATGCTTTCCCGCACGGCCCGTTCGTCCAATACGATGGGTATATTCTGAAAATAAATATGTTGTGTTACAAGAAAGACTAACTGGGGCCATTGGTGAATGGGGTGTGCCAGTTCTTGCAGCCCATCCAAATGTCCTGGGGTATCAAACAAAGTCACAGCAAACCTTTTTCCCTTTAGTTAATTTCATGACACCTTTGCAACTACTTTTGGTATAATTTGTCTAATTGGAGGATGAATTGGAAAAGATATGGAAAGAAGAAACCTTGAAGGACTTTGATGTACTATCTCTGGCATTTCTTGGGATGAACTGAGGAATGTTCATAGGGGCCCATCTGCAGGCCAATTATAAGTGTAGAACCTCTGAAATATGAAGGATGCCCAACCACTACAGCACGATGCTATTTGTGATTTCTTTCCTCAAAAGTGAGGCTTGCAGAATAAAGCAGCAGGAGGAACACATTATTCACATTCAGATCACAGGAAGTGGGAAAACATAATGAGGGAAAGTTTAAGAAGCTAATTACATTTAAAAAATACTAAAAGTTGTCAAGCTAATTAAAAATATGAATGTACTGTTACAGCAAATGTGCTGATTCATGGCATGCATTCCTGTTTATGACTAAAATATATTAGGATATTTAAAATAAACTGCTTAGGCACTAAATAATGACACTACATGGACCACAAATTTTATATTTGAAATTCCAAAGTTAAATGTACAGTCAAATCTGACAATCTTTCTCAGTTCAAGTCTTGCGCCCTCAGTTAATTCTATATTTCTATGGACCCAGTCCCATTATCTCTGCAATGAATTTCCTTTATTTAAGGCTGTATTCAGTTTGGTGGTCAAATCAACTTTTCCCTAAAGAAATCTCGAATGGAGAGTTTACTATACAGGTAACCCTTGATTTCTGCCAGTTCAATTTGTGCCGATTTTGAAACCAGCAAGTCTAAAAGTGAAAAAACAAATTTTTTTACTATTATTTAAAACGTTTTACAATGTATCTTATAATGATTCTTATACTGAATCGTAATTCTTACATCGCTGATTTTGAATAAAAATTATAAATACAGTCATCTCTGCAATTACGTATGTTTCGTTAACGCAAATTTGCTCCAATGAGATCGATGAATCGGTAAAAGCTGTTTGTGAAATGCAAACTTTTGCATATGCGAGTTTGCTCTTATGCAATTTCATTCCTGGCGCTTTAAACTTTCAAAGGACTAATTTAATCTCTGCGGAGGTACCGGGGTTATTTTTACTACGTGATTTTCTATAGGTCGGCGTCTTATATGAATGCAACTATCGCATAACAGCAGAGATGACTGTACACATCAATCACATGAAAGAATCGCAATGACCAACGAATTGCCGATTTCAAGTGTATAAAATATATTTTTTAAATTCCCTTTATTTTATTTACATTATTTCAGAGCTTTAAATATAATGCCATTATATTACTCGTCAATGTTTGGGTGCTGGGAATGCAGTTCATTGACTTCCCATTGATTTACATTATGAAAAGAGTTTCAATTTACCCCGATTCCTTTTACGCCGGTTTGTCCAGGAACGCATCCCCGACGTAAATCGAGGGCTACCTGTAGTCATTGTTATATTTAATAATATATAAAGATCACTCTTACCTTCTATGCTCTTGGCCATGTCATAGTTGATGACCATGGACACGTCTTTGATATCAATACCTCGGCCGGCAACATTGGTGGCTACCAGGATGTCTTTGGTACCTGACTTGAGGCTCGCCAAAGCATACTCACGCTGTTCTTGTCCCTTGCCACCATGCAGAGTGCAGGCATTATACTGAAACAGTAAGCAAGCATTTTGCTTGTTTTATAATGGCAAAGATCATAAACTGTATATTTGGAAGTAAATTTCCAAAAAATGCAATTGGAGAATAAAAGAACTCTCACAATGAGATACATGCAATGGAGAAGTAGTCAGATTAAGGATTGACACCACAGTTGTACTTTTAATCCACAACAGAAGTTAAATTTTTTCATTTAGTTACAACTACAAATAAATTTGAAATATTGCAAGTTGCTCACTAGCACTGAAAGACCTTCACAGGCAAAGTTCATGAAGGTTCTTCCACTGTTCTTTGGCATTTAACACAACAGTTATACTTACACCAAGTTTCTCTAAACCCCTTGCCAGCACATCTGCCCCCTTCTTCTGGTTGACAAAGATGATCACTGGGGGTGTGACACCACGACCGAGGATCTCGAGCAGTTTGCGTCTCTTGTCTGCCTCAGACAGGATATACACAACCTGTTCTACTCGCTCTGTTGGCTTGCCAGCAGATCCAATATACACAACTGCTGGGCGGCGCAAGTACGTACGAGCGAGACGTTCAACTGCTGGCGGCATAGTAGCAGTAAACATGACTGTCTGCAACAGAAATTCAGTGAGATTCCAGTTCACTTGCAACTTCAGTTCCTCTTAAGCAGACACAATACATTATGTAACAAGACTGAAAAGGAGTTTTTCATTCCATGTCATAAAGGTCGTTGTTGCTCTAATGTCACTGTTGAGAAACACTGTAATCCAAAAATTTCATCAGGGAACTGTTGCACTACTGTGATCTGAAGTCATTGTTCCACATATTCCTACAATGAGCTTGGTTCCCAGTTTAGCAGCATAATGACCCTGTTTATGGAGGTTGCCTAACCTCCTAGGAAATTCAGACAGACATGGACATATAAGGTGCTGTTTACTCATGCTTATAGTGTGAAGAACACCTAACAATTCAAAGCACGCATCCGTAAGCAGAATAACAATTAAAAGATAGCTGAATACAATATATTTTTAGAAATACAATAGGTGGGAAGTGACATGCTGGAATAATCCCATTGTAGCAACCTTCTGGGGGAAGAAAAAGAAGAAAAGAAAAAATCAGCAGCATACATCTCCTTCTAATCAGTGCTGCTTCAAGCTGTATTTTCCTGTGCACTGAGCTGTTGACACGCTGGAGTAAATGTTACCAACATAAATGAAGCCACAGCATTATTTTTCCCTAACATGAGAATTCAACATTGAAACCAGACACTTCCAGGTACCAGGCATGAAGTCCAGTAGGTTGCCTGGCCAGTAACATCTTGTATTTATGTGAATCTAATAATACTCTTAAAAAATACAAGTTTTATTCATGATACTGATCAGTAGCCATCAGCCAGAAGACCACCCACCTGTCTGTACTTTTTCTTTGAGTTGTAATTGGCCAGCAGTTTGGTCTCATCTTCTGCATCCTCAGTGTCTGGCTTAAGGTTCGTTACAGGCATGTAATCCAGGATCTTCTGCACATCTGCGGAAACACAGTGTCAGCAATATGGCAACTTGGACAGTAACAAAACAAATGTAATCATAATACCATCCACACTACTAGCGGATGTTTGTGCAGTATGCCACCACATATATCTTAGAAGTCAAGTAATGCTGATTCATCTTCATCACAAAACATCATCTGCTGATCCCCACAATAATAAAAGAGTTGCAACCTTTCCACACAAAACTTCAGGAAGAACAGGAAATACAGGCACAACTCAAGGGATGGAAAGGGAGACAGCTCATTAATTTGGTTCTGAAGAAGGAATTAAACTTTGCTGTTATGAGGAATGAAGCAAATGGATGTGATCTGTATTATGGTCCCATCATTACATTGTTATACATCTTAAACATTTCAGAAGGACCATTTATGAAATATGTATGCCATAAAACAACTTCCACATTTATAAGACTGTCACTACAGTTTTCTTCCTTCATTTGTATTCAAAACATGGGCCATTTTACAGTGTCCACACCTGCATTATTACAGTTTTAATTGCAATATTTTCATGGTACCTAAATATGAATCACTATGGTTCCAAATTAAAAATGGCAATGCTGTTAGTGTGTCATTGATGTTATCTACCATGACATGAAACTATTTAGTTGAGACCTGACAAGTCACAATAGCCCTACCTGCCTGTGTTAGTCTCCTCATGATCAGCACAATGCTCAATGCATATCATGAGAATATTGCAAACGTACGGTGACTTCTGTATATTAGCAAATAAAGAAAAACAAAATTCAAACATCGCTTAGCAATTTCTGGGAAACAGACACCTGACACCTATGGCTTGTCTCATGTATTCACATAGAATTATGTCAATATGAAAATATTTCAAAAACATTTTTCTTGGGGTTACCACTATAGTCACATGCATCTTTTCGCCATGTTTGCATGTATCAACTTTATAATGATACACATCAGTGTGAATGGAAGTCACTATATCAAAGATTGAATTACAGTTGGATAAACAGAATATTTACCAGGTTCAAAACCCATGTCTATCATGCGATCAGCCTCATCCAGTACGATATAGGTGCACTGGTTCAGCACAAGGTACCTGTTCTCCAGCACATCGATCAGACGCCCAGGTGTTGCTATTACAATCTGCAACGAAAATTTGTTTTCTTGTCATTACATTAATTCCGCATCTCATAGATGACTGCAATGTAACTTCCTATTAAAGGTATATTCATGGTAGCAAGAAATGCTTACAGAATTTTACTATGGGAATCTGCTGGTAACAGTCTCTTGTAACAATGATATGGAGATGACAATATTAAACACCCCGATGACAGAGGCAGTATGACCTCTTAAACGCTGGTTAACATCGACCAGACTACACAGCGCAACAACCCAGAAGACAGAAATCTTCATACTCATCGCTGTGAAAACCTCAACTCTTACAATATTAAACTAATCTTAGGGAAATATGTTCTGGTGACGTGCAATGGATTTAACAGGTTCATAACAGGGTACA